AGTGCACTTCTAGAAGGTCTCACCTTGGACAAAATCAGCTGTTGAGCCATGGGRCTGTCAAGGTCCAGGGGGACAGTTAGGCGCAATGACAGAAAGAGCTGAGATGCACCTAGGAACAGAAAATGTGGTTCTTGTTATCCCCTCCGACCCCTCAATTGCACTGTGGTAGGAGCTGGTGCCCTCTTCCCAGGACCACGGCACCCTGCTTCCAGAGCTGTGTCRGTCATAAGAGACAGTCCTTGTGCCCACCTGGGATTTATATCACCATCCATATGGTACAGGGAAGCATGGAKAGATGAAATGGCTTGTCCAGGGCTACGCAGCAAAGCATATGAGAAAGCAGAGGGAGCTAAGGGGACAGATGGCAGCTCCCTAGTCCAGAATTGACACTGAGGCACACAGGCCCCTCTCACAGACCACATGTTGGTCATGCCACGTACCCCTACAGGGGCAGGTGAATCAGTCTCCTTGTGTACAGAAAACAGGGCTGCTGCTCTCCACCTACAACACAGCTGGGAAAACACGCATTGCTCTTGTTTTGTCCATCTCTGCTGGCAGCAGGAGAGAGCTTGAGAYGGGCCTGTGGAGGGAGTAGGTATGGAAGAGGTCTCCCTTCCACCATTCAAGGCTGGCAGGTCTTTTCAGACCTGCTTTTCAGGCTGTTGCCTGCCTTGGATGTTCCCAAGGGACCAGCACACATCTCACAGGCCATCAGTGTCTCCAGATCAAGAACAGAGCAAAGGTGCTGGGCTCCACAGGCCAGCCTGGACAGCCACACACCAGCTGCYGGGAAGCCCTGTGGCTACTGCAATGCTGGGGTGACAGCAATGCCCGTGGCGCAGCGGGGCACACACAGCTCTGCCAGCCCAGCTGGAGGAGGGCTTGGAGCCCTAGAAGGTCAGAAGCACTTACTGGTGTTAGTTGCAGCGGTGGGGCAGACAAGCGGTGTCGTTGGCTCATGTGCGGTAGTGCTGATGGTAACCTCTGTACTTGGGGTTGAGTTAATGGCAGGGGAAGAGAGCTCCGTGGATGGGTGAGATGAGGTTACACCAGCAGTGCCTGCGGAGATGCAAGATGCTCCTACAGTTTCTACTGCTGGGAAAGGACTAACCAAAAAAATAAGGCCTCCTCTGCCACCAGGTCCCCGTTTCCTGAAGTGCTGGGAAGTGCATACCCAGCTGGGACCTGGGCATTGTGTTTTCCCAGCTGATGACGCCTTCTACTGCAATAAGATCACACATTTTTTTTTCTGCAGGACTTTTCTCCAGCATTTCCCCAGCAAGCTGCATCTACAGGGATTCTGGCATCCTGCACCTGGCACCAACACAACAGCATGTGGTGCATGATCCAGCCTCCCTGAGTTGCACCAGGACTCTTCAGTGCCCAGATGCTTACAGAGAGGTGGCAAATACCTGGGGCCAGCAGGAGGGGACAGGCGTGCAGGTTGTACCTGCTTCAGGCAGAGGACGCAGAACAGGAGGCCCAGGAGGAGGTAATTGGGGACCCACCAGGAACAGGACTGGAGATCCTTCCTCTGATCCTCACACACCAACCTCAGTGTGTCCCCAGTCTCCAAGTACCCCCTTAACTGTACTCACTCGTTGCTGCACTTGACACTTGAGGTGCTGTTGTGGTGTCCAGGGTTGTCCTTGAGGTAGAAGTGGAGATGCCAGAGGTGGTTCCTGACGGGGTGGCAGTGGGGCTGCTCCCGGGGACTGCTGTGCTGCTGGCAGAGGCAGTCATGGTGCTCCCTAGCAATGTCGAGGAGCCAKCTGAAGTGGTTGTCTCATCTGTCATGATGGAAGGAGTCATTGCAGTGGGAGCCAYGCTGCTGGTCTCCTGGGGTGTGCTGTGAAATGGGGAGTTTGTGGATGGCTCTTCACTGGTGTTTGTGGCAAATGTGGTGCTCTCCACGGTGGTAGTAGGAAGAGAAGAGGTGGAGGGAGGCATCGTGCTTGTGTCACCTCTGGTTGAGCTGATGCCTGGGTTTGTGCTGGTCTCCATGGCTGTGTTGGCTGTTGTCTCAGCATCAGTGGATATTACAGCTGTAGTGACTGAAGACTGGGCATCAGTGGTGCTCCTCCTTCCCGTGGTGCTAGACGCTACCTGAACTGTGGTAGTGCCAGGGGGCAAACTGGCAGAGCTGTGGGTCTCAGCGGCTGTGGTGACGCTCGAGGTTGTGGGGCTGCTGCCCCAAGTGGTCGCAGTGCTCCCTGTGAAGGTGTGTGGGGGAGTGCTGGACCTCTCCTGTGGGGTGGAGGATCCCATCTCAGAGCTGGAGGGAGGRGTGGTGGCTGTGCTGACAGAGGTAGTGGTGAGCAGAAGCGCTGAGGTCTCTGAGGGTCTCGAGAAGGCTGAGGAAGTTGGGGACACCTTCAGTGTCACATCTGTRTCTGTGGTCCCTGCAAAGAGGTGGGAGATGAAGCATGCAAAGGCTTGTTGTGAAAGGCTGCAACGAGGGCTGTGCCGGGCACAACCCAGCGTCACCATCACACTTGAGCTCCCTAAGGAACCCGGAGCCACCAAAAGGTGGGAGTGGGGATTCACCACGCAATGTCAAGCATGGAGCTCCGGCACGTCACCARTAACAGAGACTGGCTCATCGGCCTGGAAGGGTGAGTAAGTCTGACAGGCTGACAAACCAGGAACAACCCGTGGATATCTCTAGTCTCGGGGCAGAAACTCCCCGTGGCCTCCGAGATAAGTCACGTTCCAGCACCTTCGTCCATCCCTGGAGGAAGTCAAACAAACCCGTCCGACAGGAAGAGCAGCTGTTCAGGAACTGGTTACCACGAGAGACACGCTGGTATCTCATCAGGAGCTTATACAAACATCTCTGCTGCAGATATTCAGGAACTGATAACGTGAGGCATAAATAACGCGAGCGGGGAAAACCAGCCCCGCTGAACTGCACAGAAGGACCAAGAAATCCCCGCTCGTGGGCTCAGGACCAAGCTGAGGGGCCCCACGAGCCCCACACATTGCTGGGGGACATGAGGGCCAGTGCAGCCCATGCCACATGTGCCACCGGACCTGCCGGGTGGCCAGGAGCTGGCGGAGGAGCCCGGCGGCTCTTAGGGAAACAAGCGCCRCTCCCGCTTTGTTTGCAGGGCAAATATGCAGGGAATTATTTGCAGGGCAAATATTCCTTTGCCCTTTTGCAGGCCCACGCGAAGGTGCGCGTGCTGCCGCCCACGCCGGGCTCTTGGAGGCGGCCAAGGCGATGCCRCGAGGGCAGCAAAGCCCACGGGGACGGAAGCCGGGGAGCACGGGCAGGGCGGGCGCGCCGCGCGGCAGCCCCTCCGCGGGCACCCAGCTGCCGCGGGGACAACCCTGCCATTTTTAAGCCTTTCCAGCGGGATGAACAGAGTATCCCGTCCGCCAGCGCGGCGGGTGGCCGCGTGCGTGCAGCCGCAGGGCCTCGCCGCCCGTCCCGTCCCATCCCGCGGCCCAGGGAGCCCTTACCCATCCCGAGCGTGGCCAGGCCGGGCAGCAGCAGCAGCAGCAGCAGCAGGCGCAGCCGTCCCGCCCGCCACGCCATGGCCGGGCCGCCGCGGGCCCCGCCGCCTCCGCGTCGCCGGCGCCCGCCGCGGGAGGAGCGTCCGGGAGGGCCCTTTTATGGCCCGGGCGGGCGCGGGGCGCTGAGGCTGCCGGGGCCGGGCGCTGTGCCCAGCGGGCATGGGCGGCTGGCAGCCGGGACACGGTCCCGCGGGAAACGCCCCGGGAAGCAGCAGGCGGCCGGCGCAGGGGGCACAGGCTGGGCGGGAGGCCGCCTGGCAGTGGGGCCGCTGGTCCCTGTCACAGCGGGGCCGCTGGTCCCCGTTGCAGACAGGCCACTGGTCCCCGTCACAGAGGGGCCGCTGGTCCCTGCGCCGGAGCCAGAGGGAGGAAGAGGCGGCCAGGGYGGCTGCGGGCGGCGCTCGGGAAGGGCGGGCTCCATCCCCGGGACTTTTCACCTCCGGGCCAGGCGGGCGCTGCAAGAGCCGGAGCCGCTTCCTCGTTCTTGGGGCCGGGGGATCCCGCTGGGAGCGCCGGGYGGGCCCTGGGCCAGGCACACGGAGGCACCCACGGGGGACAGGCAGACTGCGGGCGCTAGCCCAGGGCACAGGCAAATGAGGGTGCACTGAGGGTGCTGTCAGGGGGCAGGTGCATGGTGAAGGTACAGTCACTCGGGGGTACCGCCAGGGTACAGGCACACTGCTGGGGTACAGTTACACTGATGGGGTAAATGGAGACACATGGGCTGCACTGCCGGGCGAAGTCCCACTGTGAGGCGACAGGCACCTTGGGGGGCACTGCCAGGGCAGAATCACACCCCCAGGGCACAGTCACACCCCCAGGGCACAGTCCCACCCCCCGGGTACAGCCACACTCCCAAGGTTCAGTCACACTCCCAGGGCACAGTCACACCCCCCGGGAACAGTCACACCCCCCGGGAACAGCCGCACTCCCCGGGAACAGCCGCACTCCCAGGGTACAGGCACCTGGGGGCACTGCGGGGCGCAGGCGGTGCCGAGAGGGACGCTCCGCCCACACCCGCAGAGACCCCGCCCACCCCCTGGCCCCGCCCTCGCCCCGCCCCTTCCCGCCGCGCGTTGTGTAACGGCGCGGGCGCGGCGCGCGCTCAGGTGAGGGGCGCCCGGCTACAAAAGGGCGCGGGGGCTCCGTGATTCCCCTTTCCCTCCCTTCCCTCGCGGGAGCCCCGGGCCGGCCGCGCCCCGGCGGCGGGAGCGAGGGCAGAGCCGCCACCGACCGCCGGGCTGCCCGTGCGGGGCCCACGCGCGGGGCTCCCCCCGCGGGGCGCGTCGTCCCCTGCGTGKCTGCGTCTCCCCCCTGCCGTGGCCACGTGCAGGGGACGAGGCGGCCCGAGCCCCCCGCGAGGCCCGCGGCCCCCGCACGGCCCTGCCGCGTTTTGCACCGTTCCGCTGCTTCCCGTTTTTTTTTTCTCCAGGCACCTCCGTGGCTCTCGTTCCTGCCCGCAGGACCTGCGCGTCCCCGCGCTGCCCTGGCACGGCTGGCCATCCCCTTTGCAGCTGCCTCGTCCGCATCCTGGAGGCTGCGGAGCCTCTCCCAGCATTGCCCCCGCACCGGGACGGTCTTGAGGATGCCCCAGAGGAAAGGGAAGCGAAAAGCAGCCGGAGGGGATGAGGCCGAGGCCGTGGAGCTGCCACCGGAGCAGAATAAGCAGGAGGCAGCTCCAGGRAGGCTGGAGGAGGCCGTGCGGGAGGCCCGGCGAAAGGCAGCCCCATCCGTGCGGGAGTTCAAGTTCAACAAAAAGCGGGTCCGTCTGGTCTCCCGGGGCTCGGAGCTCAAGGACGATGCCAAGTGCATCCTTTACTGGATGTGCCGAGACCAGCGTGTGCAAGGTGGGAACCAGCTGAGCCCGGGGCTGGYAGAGGCACGAGGAAATAAAGAGCATCCCCCTAACAGAGCCCCGTGCTTTCTCCACAGATAACTGGGCTTTCCTCTACGCCCAGCGGCTGGCGCTCAAGCAAGAGCTGCCTCTGCACGTCTGCTTCTGCCTGGTGCCCAAATTCCTGGACGCCACCATCCGCCACTACCGCTTCATGCTGCGGGGCCTGCAGGAGGTGGCCAAGGTAGAGACCCGGGCGGTCCCGTGTGACGTGGCAGGGACAGAGCTCCTGGGGACGGGGAAGCAGGGCTGGTCGTGGGGCACATCGGGGTGAGGTCACGTCTTCAGCAGCACAACTTCAGCTTTACCTTTTGCCCTTCCCTGCAGGAGTGCGCGGAGCTGAACATCCCCTTCCACGTGCTGCTGGGCTACGCCAAGGACGTGCTGCCCGCCTTTGTGCTGAGGCATGGCGTGGGCGGCTTGGTCACCGATTTCTGTCCCCTCCGTGTCCCCCAGCAGTGGGTGGAGGACGTCAGGGAGCGGTTGCCGGAGGACGTGCCGTTTGCCCAGGTAGGATCCTGCGCCCTGGAAGGGGAGTGGGCAAGTTGGGGAAAACCATGCGGGGTGAGAGACGGGAGATTTTTCTGGATTTTTATGCCTGTGGAGGTACCCTGGAGTGATTGAGCAGGGTTCTCTCCTGGATCTCCCCTTGTTCATGCTCAAGTTTTAGTCGGACAAGTGGGAAATATCCCATTCTGTCAGAAAATGTAGTGCAGGGACCATCTGTGTGTTGTGTCATCAGGAGTGTTGTTTTCTCCTGMTTATGGTCTTCTCCACGGCTCTGCTCCCAGGTTGATGCCCACAACATCGTGCCCTGCTGGGTCACCTCCCCCAAGCAGGAGTACAGTGCCTGGACCATCCGGAACAAGATCCACAGTCAGCTCCCAGAGTTCCTCACCGAGTTCCCTCCGGTCATCCAACACCCGTATCCCCCCTCCACCCCAGCAGAGGTAAGAGGGAGCCACCCCTCCACTCCTACTGGTGTCCATCCTCAGACAGTTCAGCTGCTGCTCTGTGGCCCTGACAGGAGAATGGTGGGGCTTGAGGGGGCAGTGACTTTCCTGARGTCACAAACAAGTAGTTTAGAGCTGAGGGCACCTCAGGAAAGTCAGGTTCCTACCCCATTCTAYCAGGCAATGAGCAGCTCTTCACTGTCGGCAGTGGTGGCGAGTGGGTGCTGGGCTAGCAGCAGGCTGGCAGGGTTTGGGGGCTTGCTGCTTGGGGCTGCTCCTGAGAGACACCAGGGAACGCGTTCAGGGCAGCGCTGTCTACAGAGCATCGGCTCCTGGAGCTCGGCTCTCGCACAGCAGAGCGCTCACGCTGCCTGGTTGCTGCCCAGCCCGTCGCTTGGGAGGCCTGTGATTCCAGCCTGCAGGTGGACCGCAGCGTGAAGGAGGTGGCGTGGGCGACCCCYGGCACGGCGGCAGGGCTCGCAGTGCTGCAGTCCTTCATCGCCGAGCGCCTCCAGTCCTTCGGCTCCCACCGCAACGACCCCAATAAGGCAGCTCTCAGCAACCTGTCCCCGTGGTTCCACTTCGGTGAGTGCCGTGGCCTCCTCCCCAGTGTGGGGCTGAGGGTAGAGGAGGTGACGCTGCACAGCAGCTCAGAGCGGCGGCCTGACCTGCTCTCTGTCCTGGTCCCCAGGCCAGGTGTCCACCCAGCGAGCCATCCTGGAGGTGCGGAAACACCACAGGAAGTACAAGGAGTCCGTGGACATCTTCGTGGAGGAGGCCGTAGTGCGGCGGGAGCTGGCTGAGAACTTCTGCTACTACAACAAGAACTAYGACAGTGTTCAAGGTAGCACATCAGGGCTGGGTGGGCAATGATGGGACTAGTGGTCACCCTGCTGTGGTCACCCCAAATTAGCAATCCCCAAGTTCTGCTAGGGGAGGAGCCATGGGGGCAGTAGCGTGTCATCCTTCCGTACCTTCTGGATGTAGGACAGGAGCTTGCTGAGATCTCGTGACAGAGAGATGGAGAAACCACCTCTACCAGGGTATCTAAGGGCTTGGTGTCTTGAGTGCAGCCCACTTCCATATCACTTTATTGGAGCCCTGCAGGGAGCAGGTTACTCAGTGTCACTTCTGGTCTCTACCTCACAGGTGCCTACAGCTGGGCCCAAACGACACTGCAGCTCCATGCTAAAGACAAGAGGCCTTTCCTCTACAAGCTAAAGGAACTGGAGCAGGCGAACACGCATGACCCACTCTGGAATGCTGCCCAGGTAGTGCCCTGTGTCTCTTGATGCACCTTGAAATGCTGAGCACCTCCTTGCCCCAAMAGCTGTGCTGTCTGCCTGGAACTCCCAGCAATCCAATGCTCCCAAAATCTAGGGGTGGGACCTTCCAGGTGGGCTTTGCTGTATTGCTCCCAGGTGAGGAGGACAGTGATCAGAAGACACTAGTTTGGGCATGGCCCTGTGTAGGTGAATGTCACACTCCAGCAGTGCCKAGGGACCTCTGGAGAGGCCAACCCTGCAGGTTGCTCCTCTCTCCACAGCTCCAGATGGTCCGGGAGGGCAAGATGCACGGCTTCCTGCGGATGTACTGGGCCAAGAAGATCCTGGAGTGGACGCGCTCCCCTGAGGAGGCTCTGCAGTTCGCCATCTACCTCAATGACCGCTACGAGCTGGACGGCAGGGATCCCAATGGATACGTAGGCAAGCTGCAGAAGGGGCCATGGGGTGGGGGGCTCAGCCTTGTGATGACCAGTGAAGGGTGAGGGGAGCTCCCTGCAGAGAACCCAGCTCTTCTGCCGCATTTTCCATTGCTTCCCTGTCCCAGCTGCTGTCCAGCTCCCTGGAGAGCCGGGACGCTGAGGCCATGCGTGTGTCCTGCAGGCTGCCTCTGGTCCATCTGCGGCATCCACGACCACGGCTGGACAGAGCGGGCCGTGTTCGGCAAGATCCGCTACATGAACTACGCCGGCTGCAAGAGGAAGTTTGACGTGGGCCAGTTCGAGCGCCGCTACGGCCCCCACAAGCGCCACAAGTGAGCGGCGCTGCGGCACCCCCGTTGCAGACAGGGTCAGGAGCAAGTTTGGGACAAGCTGCTTGTGCTCCTCCGTGCTTGGGGCAGACGATGCCTTTGCCAAGGTGCTGTTTGCTGCCCTGTCGCAATGCTGCCCTGGGTGCTGCCGGAGGAGATGCCGCAGGAAGGAGAGGGCACCAGGGTGCTGCAGGTTTCTTTCCTCTGGCTTCGTTGCCCTGCTTTAGCTCCTGTGCAGGTCGGCTGTGCGAGTGCTTTCTTGGAGCCCATGCAGGGCAGTCACAGCTTTACTCCTGTCTGTGAGATTCCACCCTCAGCCTGCTGGAATAAGCCGTGCTCAGGAATAAGCCAAAGTTGCCTTTGCTGCTGCTAACCCCAGCTTAGCTTATRGCCTAGCAAGGCTTTTCTGGGGAAAAGCTCTAAGAAAATGACCTCCTCCTGCCTGGCTTCCTGCAGCTTCCCTGTCTTCCGGGACCTGAAAGTGCAGCTTCACCCCATGTAGAGCAAGCGCTGTGCGACCACAGGCGTCTTGCCAGTGATGCTGGCATTTGGTTTTAAAGTTGGCAGTCTGCAGCTCCTGTGTCTGTGGTGTTTATGGGAGAGCCGTGCAGTGTGACATGCAGCGCTGCTCAGCRCCCGCTGCCCGGGACAGGGTGCGAGCAGGGAAGGGGCTGGGCTCGGGCTGTGCCCCTGGGACCATTTTGGTAGCAATAAGGACACGCTTGGAAAAGGATCATGTTAGAGAGCACCCCTCAGTCAGCTGCTCCGAATCAGCAGCTCACTTGTGTTCCAGCAGGCCCTTTGCAAAGGTGGGCCGCAAACCAGACCGCTTCATCAGTGGTTGGTGACACTAACCCCTCTCAGACATGGGATCCCAGCCCCGGCAGTGCTGTCACACAGGTTGGTTTGTTGTCCCCCTCCAAAGCAGGAGGAAAAGGGCACCATCGGGGCCTCCTGCTGCCAGCTACTACATCCCGCTCCATCYTCCCCTCAGCCCAACAGGCAACAGCAGCATCCATGCTGCAAGGAGATGCCAAGGGTTTACAATTTGCCACACCACTACCAGGCCTCTCGTTTGTTAACTTAGTTTATTAGGGACGGCATTTTCATGGCTATGCTATGCAATAGTCCAGTGTGGGCTCCTTGGACGCCTTGACAAGTCCCAGGATCAGTGTTGAGCCCAGCCTTGCGCTGGAGCCCGTCGCCACGCTGCGAGGTCGGTGGCGCTTCGGAGCCCGTGGTGGAGGGTGGAAAACACAAGTCAACCCAAATCCATTCACTCCTGTCTAAACATACTCAGTGCTTCGAGAAACAGTCGTGGGCAGCGTCTTGGTCAGTGTCCCACAACGTTAAAGTGCTTCAAACAACACGGCGTGGCTGAAGTTGCAGAGCCCCGGGATGCCGCTCCGGGAGCGGGGCCGTTACCGTCTGCAGCGCTGGGCAGCAGCACAAGCAGGGCAGCAGGTAAGGGCCGAGGCAGTGCTCGCCTCCGGCAAGCTGGGACCAGCTCCTGGCAGCCCCAGGGCCTGCAGCGCTGAGGCTGGTGCCTGCCCATGGGCTGACACRGGGGACAGGAGAGCAGCTGCTCCCAGGGCAGAACCAGCAAGATGAAGGAAAAGGAAGGAAAAGGTTAAAGGAAAAAAAACTCAAGGAAGTTGGTGKGTTACTAAGCTGCCTTTCACAGGCTAGACCCACTGGAGCTGGTACTTTGCAGCCCTTGGCTTGGCCAGGTTGCTGCAGAGCACCCAGCTTCTTGCCCCACGGGTTGAGACCCAAGGGCAGAGCTGGGGGTGACTTCCCCGGAGAGAGCCCTCCAGAGCTTTTGGTGCAGCTTCCCCAGGGAAGAGGCTGTGCCCATGGATTAGGACCACATCAGACTCCACCACAGCTACTGGCACCACCTCTTGAGCTGCTCACCTGGGCCCACACGGCTGCATCCCTGTGAGATCTCGCTGATCCACTGCACCTGGGCCCCACAGAGGACAGAGACGCTGCTGGGGAGCAGCCTGTCCCCCTGACACGGCTCCTCGGAGCCCCGCGYGCTCCCAGTGCCGCAGCCTCTCCCCGACCCTTCTGCCGTCACAAGCRACCGCGTCCAAGCCTCCAGCAAGGGCAGGGGCTGCAGGAGCTGCTGCCCATAAATGCCTCCCCCCACTGCACTGTTCCCCGCTCCCTCAGCCCCCTTCTCACATCCACAGGCCAAACTGTTCTTCCTACCACGTTGCAGGTGCGTGCTGATGTGCTGGACACCTGCTGCCTTCTTCCCTCCCMTACCCAGGACTAACGTCCCCATGACACCCCCTAAGGAGAGCAGGAGAGGGGCCACCTAAACCCCTGCCCTGCTCAGGGCTGGGCTGCAGGGAGCAGAGCAGCTCTGGAGGTGGCTGTAGCAGCGAGTGCTGAGCAGAGGGCATGGCCCCAGGGAGGCCTTTCAGGCACCACCTTGCAGAGGGACAAACAGTTCAAAAGACAAATGGGCACATTAAAAAAATAAAAAATCCAGCAAATTAAAAACGACCTAAAAGAGCAAGTTGAGAGAGGCTCCGGGGAAGTGACCAGAGGGCTGAAAACAAACTTTGCACGTGTCCCAAATGATCCCAGTTACAAGATAGCTGCACCCCAGGCAGGTCCTCCTGCCACTGCCAGGGCTGAGGTCACACGTGACCCTTAGAGGGATGTGTTCCCCAGCAGGACACAGCAGAGGTGTGAGGACAAAGGGATGTGCAGAGCAGCTGGGCACTCCATCCCATCACTGCACAGCTTGCTTGGGCYATGATCCCCACCTTGCTTCACTTACTGTGTGTCCTTGCAGGGCAAGCCTGTCCCTGCAGTCAGCTCTGCCACGCTGTCCYCCCGTGCAGCTGCACCTGTGGCTGCTGCCTGCACGATGCCCCACTGCAGCACACGCTGTGCTGCACGGGGAGGGAGCAGCCCCGTGCGGGCAGCTCGGAGAGGCAGGACAGGCACCTGGCGCTTTCTCTGCACCTCCTCTGCTGCTGTTGGGTGCGTAAAGGCCTCCTGCCCGCTCTCAAGGCTGAGCTGAAGATGGAAGCTGTTAAATCCGTGGTTGCTTTCCAAAGGCAGCCGTTCCCAACGTACGTATGCACATTAGCAGCAGGACATGGGATGGAAGGAACTGGAGAGCTGAGCCCCGCTCCAGGGAGCCATGGCCAGAGCTTTGAGCATCCAGCTGATGAGCAGAAAGTGCCAACCCTGCAAGAGACCCTGCYCAGGGAAGAGGGCACAGGGACTGGCAAATGAACCCTGCCTGGCCCAGCAGCACCCAGAGGCGAAGGGTGCAGAGAGGCACAAGAGCAACTGCTTGGTGAAGGCCTGTGTTCTGCCTGCAGGACAGACAGGAGCAGCTGCCTTTCCCCAGGCAAAGGCATGGGCAGGTCTAACTGGTGCCTGGAGCAAAGCAGACGATGGAAGATTCACCCTTCCCCAGCTCAGCACTGCTGCATAGGGGAAGACAGATCCCTTGAAGATGGGGCTCCAGGCACCTGGTGAGTCAGCCCTCCCACTGCTCCTCCTCAGCGCAGGTCCGTTTGGCTCGGAGTCCCCTCCGTCTCCAGCAGCAAGGGCCACAGGCACAAATAAACCCACTATCTGCTCCTCCGTCGTGACATCTCATGTGGCTGCCACTGCCTCCTGCTGCTCCAGCTCATCTTCATAGTCCGAGACATAGGACTCCATGCTCTGCTTGGCCAGCAGCTCTCGCCGGGCTTGGAGCCGCTCACAGCGAGGGCAGCGGGAGGACTTGAAGCAGGATTTGTGGTAGCAGGCCTTGCAYTCTGCAGGGGAGAGGGGGAGAGCAGGCTTGACAGACTGCCCAGCACCTTATACCYTGCAGATGAACGCTCTAGACTGGTGTAGGAAGATATTTGAAGCAAAAGCCATGACAAGACAAACATTAGAAGTGGAGGGGCTCTGTCATGGTTCTGGAAGCAGCACACGCTTCACTGGGGAGCTGAGCTGCTACCTGAAGGCTGCAGTTGGGGCAGGCAGCACATTGCAAGCCCAGGAAGGCACCTGCACACTCCACCACACCAGCAGCTCTGGCCAAACACCATTATAATGCTGATCTGCTGGTGCAGTGCAGAGAAACAGGCTGCGCACACAAGCACCTCGTCTGTCTGCGTCCATCTTTGGCTCAACCCTCATGCTATCACCGATGCCATGTGAAAACAAGCTGGGAGATACCACCAGCCCAGGAGCCTGTCCCCTCCCTGCTTCTCCCCAGTATCTCACCTTCACACGTCTTGCACTTGTTGAGCTCAAAGGGGAAGATGATGTCGTCCTCATTTTGGCAGAACTCACAGATGAAGCCTTTGGCTTGGCATAGCTAGAAGGAGAAAAAACAAGGAAGAACTGGCCAGATGCTCATCTCCCTGGCAAACCAAGTGGGAAGCAGAGAGGGGCTAGACAGGAAAACACGTTGCTCTGCTCCACCCAAGCAGGACTGTCCCTCCCCAGCACTAAGCACAGCGAGGCAGAGTGAGCACGTGTTGGGGGACAAGTGTCAAACCAGAGTAGGAAACAACCTGCACAGGCAAGCAGCAACTTTGTGGAACAGGCAGGAGCTCTACCAGTTAACTCCTTTAATTCTGCAGTTGTCCAGCTAATCAAAGGCATTGATTATTTATGCAGCAAAGCCTGCTCTGCTTCGAAGGGTGCCCAGAGGGTGCTGAGCTGTGTGGAAGGCAGGTTAGGAGGCCTTACCATGCACTTCTGAACGTGCAGGCTGCCCGCCTTGAGGAGCTCTGCCAAGCGAGGCACCAAGTCTCCCTTCTTGGTTGCACTGAGGTCACTCAGGGAGTAGAGGTGCAAATCCTCTGTCAGATGTCCTGGCACCGCATCGAAGGAGTCAAGGAGGCTGCGAGGGCAGAGAAGCCAGACCTCAGAGGGAAGAGATTCCACTAACTCCGTCCCCTCTCTCTTCACTGCTTCTGCTTTGCCTCTCCTTCCACCCACCTCCTCACTCCCTGCCCATTCCCACCTTCCCTGGCTGCTGGAGCACAAYTGTCCCACAGCACCGGAGAAGGACTGAGAAGCACTTGCTTTAGAGGACTTGGCAGAGCTGGCAGCCAGCTGCTGGGACAGAATAGCCGATGTTTTAGTCTGCAGGGTCTGAGTAAGCTGAAGAGGCACAGCGAGGGCACAAACAGGGTCAGTGCTGGACACTGCCTTGTCCTGAGCCTCCAGATACTTTCTACCCACCATCACATAACTCTGCTGGTTTCAGTGGTTTGCATTTTTTTCCATAAGGAAGAATCTGGCTCGTTGCTCTAGGTTTGCAGATGGAGTATCTTAAGTTATCCAGCCACTTGCAGCGGGACCCTGGAATGAGCCTTTAGGAAGTGAGGGATGCCAAGGGGACCCTGAATGAGCTCCCTTCCACTCACTGCAGCTGATTATGTGGGACCACTTTTCAGTGCCCTGAACTGGGCTTCACCAGCGCTCACARCCCCCCTGGAACTCTAGCTCTTCAACTGAGGTCTCAGAGGTCACAGAGACATTGACATAGACTTTGAAAGACCCCATTTATCCACAGTCTGCACAGATCCCTATTGCAAATTGCCAACATCAGACTAGGACAGCAAAACAGCTTAAATGTGTACCCTAGGACTCACTCTTTAGCCAGTCGGCAGGTCTTAAACATGTTCTTCATGTGGAAGAGCTGGATTCGCAGCAGCTGGTAAGGAAGATGGGACACAAGACTGGTAAACAGAGCATAGGCCTTAACTAAACATGTGCTCCACTTCATGCTCTAGTGAGATGACTGCTGCTGCTCCTCAGCTGTAGTTTCCCAGTACAGAAATGTTTATACTAGGCTGGTTCAAGTGAGTACAAGTCATCCCCATGCTCCAGGGAATACACCATGGTTCAGCTGGACACCAGGCAAATTCCTTCCCACTCTACATCTTGGCACAGGGAGCAAGATGCAAAAGGAAATACACACTGCAGAGGTTCTTAATTGTCAAAAATGAATACACCTGCCTTTCCTCAGCTTCTCCAAAATGTCATTTACAATTGGAGATGTCGGGACAGACTACTTCTACCTCTGCCACTTGCTATTTGATGCTGGAAAAAGTCGCTTAGTCACTCTCTTATATCCCTCCATACTACCTGGCTCCTTTTACCAAGCTCTGAGATCTCAGAGAAAGTCCTCTGTGAAAGCAGCAGTTAGGAGGACTGTCTAGCAAAACCAGAGCACTGCTCTATTCACAGAGCAGTGAATACAGCCACCCACTCCACCCAGACCCCACCACCTTTCTCAGGAACCCATGTGAAAGGGCCTTACCCACACTTGGTTGAGAGACTTCACCTTCCGGTACAGGGCAGCATTGATGTCCTGCACGTTAAAGAGCGGGTCGCTCCAGATCTTGCTCAGCAGGTCTTTGGAGAAGTTGCTCACGTAGTACTTGCTGAAGTCCCACTTGCGCAGGATGCGGCTCGGGATGACTGTCTGGGCATTCTCATGGCAGCACTGGCAGAAATATTTCCCCAGGTATTCACAGTACCGCAGCCGCTTGATGTAATCTGGACGAGCCAAAGAACATGGAAAAAGATCAGYTGAGGTGTAGGCAGCTTCTACCTAGACACATGGACTTTAGTGTTGCTCAGTTTCCAACAGGCAAGGCAGCCTTGCCAGTCCTTCAGCCTCAGACTGGGGTCTGCAAGAGCCTACACAGACTGTGTCTGGGCTTGCACCCTCTCTATTGGACACGGGGAGTCAATTTTACCTACACAGTTAGGAAAGGCAGTTACTTCAAAGAGCTCCACAGTTGTACCCACAGCAGATGAGCACCGTGACAGCACAGCTCTGTGCACGGCCCGTCAGCTRAACTAGGAGTTTGAGAAGGACCCATGAAACCTGTGACCCAAACTTGTAGATACAGCCACTGCGGACCCACTAGTCTACCAGACAATACAAAGTGTGCAAAGCCCCTTGCTTTACAGAGCCCCAATAGATGATTTTATCTTAGACATACCAACATAGAAGGGTAGGTCGGCTTCTCCTTGCCTCCCCCAGCCCCACAACTGCCTGAGGAAGGAGGCTCCTCTGTGGGTGGCACATACTGACATGCAGACGGAGCCTGAGTAATTATAGTGGGTAAGAGCATACCATTTTTCCATGCCATAATCCACCCACTTTTTCCATGCCATAATCCACCCAACCCAAGTGTTTTTCAACTCGTTCACTTTCCAACTATGAGTTGGGCCTGAGCACTCACCAGGATCAGTCCGGATGCCACAGCCAGCGCACCGGTAATTCTGCTTGGCCACAGCCACCTTCCTCCTGCCCAGCGACAAGGAAAGACACATAAGTCCAGCACCGATAGCAGCTGGCACTACAGGATGGGCATCAGAGTGGGACTTGGCCACTCAAGCATAGAAAATGCTTCAGCAGAGGGGAAAGGCCCCTSTTGTGTCCCGGTGCATCCCAGCCATGGCTCTTGCACTAGCTGCAAGACTATCAGGCTGAAAGCAGAGAGCAGCCCCACATGCAAAGCAGGAAGGAGAAAATAATCAGCTCTAAGRAAGGGCAGAGGTCCAGAGAGGCTGCTGTCCACAAGGTCCTTACGTTGGGGCTGGGTGAATGTTGAAGATGATCTGTGGCCGCGGCGGGGCCCACTCCAGGTTTCCACGCACGCGAATCCTCAGCTTGTAGATGTCAGCGTGTTCTCCATCGTCAGGAGAGATGGGCAGAGAGTCGGGGATGGGCAGGAGCTGGGAGAGGCAGGATAAAGAGTCAGATCCCTGCCTGGCACCACAAGGGCAGTGCGACAGGGTGGCCAAACAGGCATCTACAAATGCGGGTGTCTGGAAAAGAGCCTGATGCCCATCTCCTACACCTGTCCCAAAACCAGGCTGCCCCATCTGAACGGGGAGACTGCAGAAAGGATTTCCCTGGGGATATGAGCACTCTTGCTGTAGGATAACCCAGCGGCAGAGCCCAGCTCTGATGCACCCATTTCCACAAGGGCTCTTCCAGGTATTCTCAGCCCGCTCCTACTCTCCAGGCAGGCCAGGGAGCCGGGCAAGTCTCCCCATGGTTCCACACAAAGCTGGTCTCCCAGCTCGGTAGGCTGTGGATGCTCCAGCCCTGCAGGACACGAGTAGGTCATAGGCAGGCTGAAGAGTTTGGCAGATTGCTCAGCACCAAGCAGGATGGAAGACACTGATGCTAAGTGAGGTGCCCTCAAGGGCAGGCCACTCCAGAGGGACATGAGCATATCTTTAGCGTAGTGAGGGCCACAGGACGAAGAGATGCAGCCTCTTCCTGCTGTGAGATGGGGCACAGTGTGTCTTGCAGTCCCAGGTTAGGGCACTGCAAACAGACCAACGCCTGCCCTGGCAGTTGCACCCAGCCCTCAGACAGACACCAAAGCCAAAGTCAAACTTCCCAGCACCAGACAGGAACATGCCTATGTCACCCATCTGGACACTGCTCCGTTGAGACTGTTAGTGCACACTGTGGTCCATGCACATTCCCTCCAGGCACACTGTACACTCCCAACATACCAGAAGGAGCTTTCTGGAAAGCTGCCTTTTCTTATACCAGCCAGGGCRCCTAAAGAGCTTTTTTAGAGACCGTCCCAGGCCCTGAAAACCAACAGCGAATAGCCCATCAATACGCTCCACAAGAGAGCCAGTGAGCAGCTGCTGCAGGCTGAGCCACTGCCCCACTTCTACCCTGCACAGAATTGCTGCTGTTCCCAGACTGCTTCCTCTGCCCTTGTTACACAAGGCTCCCGGCAGCGCACAGTAGCAGTGCCACAGGCCACCACGACAGCTCAGGCATAGACAACAGCCAGAGCAAAACCTGTCCTTCCCTTCACCCGGACTAGCAAAGCCCCTGGGCAGAGGAAACAAAGTGGGTGCAAAGCCAGGAATTTAGGAAAGAATGATCAAATGTACTCTGTAGCTCTGAGTTTCTAGAGTGCAGAGGGAGCTCTGTGCTGCGTGCTGCTCCATCCAGGGTGTTTCACTGCTGTCTCCTTTCTCTCCTGGCACCTTCAGACGGTCCCACCTGCCTTCACAGAAGCTTCCCAGCAGCTCTGCAACCTTCTGCATATGCACACACACACAAACTCACACTCACCTTCTGGGGGGCATCGTGCTCCGGAACCAGCCATTCCAGCTCGGAGGCAGCCGGGAGCTGCATGCCTTCAAACTGCTTCAGCAGACCCATGGCCACGGCCTCTGCTGAGTTGGAATTGAGGAAGGAGTGGGATCTGCACAGTGAAGGAGATGGTTAATACCAGGCATCTCAGAGCTATGCCATCTTCTCCAACACCCCAGCTTGTTTCAAAAGCAACTTTTAGCAGCTGTTTATAAAGCCAAATAYGAAAACATCTCACCTACAGCTGCAAATAGACAGTGTCTGTATGAGACAGGAGAAACTGCTTGTCCAGTACTAACCTACCTGAGAAGCTGCCAGGCAGAAACAAAGCCTTTCMCCTCACCCAACATGCAGAGCATCTCTGCATCCCAAAGGGGTCGTTTTCAGAGCAATAACATGACAGCTATGCTTAAAAGGGTTTGTGATCTACTTGCCCACAATACCCACCCAGGTGCTGCTTCCCAAATTCAAGGCTAGGATGTACCCATACCCCACTCCTAAGGYACTGTGGAGAGGGAAGGTGGGAGAGATGCCCACTCCAATGTAAAGCAGCAGCAGATAGATACATTTTGAAGAGCAAATTCGGGCTGGGMGGGGAACTTGGTAACAAGATGTCTCACTACAAGTCGAAGACGTACATGGACTCCGAGGACCGAAAGGACTTCCTGCTGGAGGCTGGGTTCCTCTTGATGTCTGCATCTGAACCACAAACAGGTACAAAGTGAAGACAAGGCAGGGCAGGAAAATATGCTCACTTCAAGCCAAAGCTTCACTTTAAAACTCATCAAGCTATTTAGAAACACACAAACTACAACTTCAGCTTCTACCAGTGACAAGGAACAGCAAGGAGAGGTGCAGTCTAACCAGCCACCTGGTAGAGCTGCAAGGGAAGGACGTGTGGGAATGCTGTGAAAACACAGGGGACCTGGGGTTGGGGGATGAGAGTGATTGCTGGTACAAATCACACACCAAAACCTAGAGGTTATATGGCCTGAAAAAGTGTACACACACACACACACACACACACACACACACACACACACAGAGCTCGAACTAGGAGAGCAAGACAGCAGGGTTAGCAACAATATTTAGTATGCAGGAGATTAGCAATGGGATGCAGAACATTTCTCACTGCTTAACTGAAACCTGTTAGATAAAACACTACCCATGCCACAGCTCATCAACAACCCACACAACGATGGGCCCTGGCAGCCTACGCCCAGCATCAAAAGACATGTCAAGATCCGTGCAGTGACCTGGCCAACAACTGCAGTGGCCAAGCGCCTGCAGAGACCATCACATCCTCTCTAGGAGGGAGAGTCCAAGCTTGGCTCTCGCGGGGTCCTTTTCTCCTCCCATCAMTCATCTCCCCAGCAGCCCAGGGCTGCAGGGCTCCTCCAGCCACACACTGCTCCTTGGCGCTGGTCTCAGGCACCAGAGCTTTCTCCAAGCACGACCTTCAGCACTCATCTGTCCCTCTAGCTGGTTTCCTCTGTTAAACCCTGACAGGGAATTTGTCTGAATGGCAGCAGAACGCTGGGACAGGACACATTTATAGCAGTACAAAGCAGAAGGAAGCAGATGGAAAGAAATTCTGTTTCATTACAGATAAACTTCTAGAAGAAAAGRACGAGATGTTAGGGGAAAGGACTCTAGGTCAAGGAAGGAAAGGGGCCAGTGCCACAGTCCCAAGCCCAGCAGTTCCCCTTCCTTGCACCCACAGAAGCTCTAGGAATGGGATCTGTAGTGACCACAGTTGACACAGGCACAGCCACAAGCAGCTGCTCAGCATGTGGCATGGGGAAGCTCCAGGGTCACTCTGCTCATCTACCTGAAGCAAGGTGGCCACACACACCCGCACMGTGCCCATCCACTCCTGGTCGGGCCCCAACTGCACACTAAGGCCTGCAAGGCCACAGTCCAGCCCCACAAAGAGAGCCAATAAAGAGAGCAACTCCGGATCCGTCCGGGAGAGCCCGGCTGCCTCCCAGGGATGCCCTGGCACAAAAAGAAGTGGGATTTCCAAAAGGAGCAGGTACCCTGCAGGTGTGAATGACACCAAGTACCTTCACTTCAGAAAGGGACAAAGATACACAAGGAACCAAGGTAACCTTCACAGTCCTTACAATAAATTCAGAGCATCAGGCCAGTAGAGACCAGCACAGACACTTAACCCTCCTTGTTTGACACTCGTTACTAAAATCAGGTATGTGAAAGCATCCCAATGCTAAGCAATCCACATATTTATCACACAGATTTCTAGATGCAGAAAACAGGGAAGTTGGCAAACACAGCTTCCCAAATATGTACAACACAGGACAGACATCTACCATGCTCTGTTGCCTTCACCTCTATGCASAAAGGCACTCGCATGGTCCTAGGCTATGACAAACTCAAGCAAACAGTACAGCACACGCAGTGTGGGCCCAGTATTACAGGTGGGGCCGTGGGCAGAGTCTGGCATCATCTCAGGGATGGGAAAGGGAGATGGATCTGATCCTAAGGTCCCTCGGGGGCTAGCACTGGCATCATGTCACCACCACTCCTGCCCCAGCCTCCGCTGCAGAGATGAAACTCTGGCACTAAACYCCCAGACCTTGCAAACACAGCAGGGCTGACAGCTCCACGTGCCATTATGTCCAGCAGGAGCAACGCACTGATGTCGGATGCCCAGCAGGATGGATCAGCAGCACCAGYTGAGTGAAACCCAGCTGCACATGASCCCCATGGGCAGTGCCTCCACTGGGAACCAAACACCTGCACCCTGTCAGCTCGACCTTCCTCTTTCTTTCAAGACTTCCTTGTGGAAGGATTCTTTCTTATGGCAAGTCTGAACAGGGCAGGAATGGTTGGCCATGGTTCTGCTCCACAAAGACAAGCAGGATAACTCTCCCCAACACACCAACTGCAACTTCAGTCCTGTGCTAGCCTTGCCCGATGGACAAAAGCTGACAGCAGGGTTATTTTAAAAGCAAGGCTCCTTCCCTCCTGGCTCTCCCTGTCTTCAGAGAAGCAAAGATTTACAATGGGAGCTGCAGGGCAGCTCCACTCAAAGCCGTAACATTGAGAGGGACAGACTCTCTGGGATGGAGACCTGGTCCCACCTCACCCAGCCCAGGCTCCTCCCTCAGCAGCTACAGAGCTGCAATGCTGCAGCATTGCCCTGCTGCACCCAACCCCAGGCAAGGCAGGTTATCACTGCAGTGGGTATGCTCAATATATCCAGAATATTACAGAAAACACATCCTGGTGCCCACAGCTCTAGCTCCTCTCTGCTTTCCTGCAATATATCATCCCTCCATGGCTTTTCCTACTGTTACTTGGATGATGTTGTTCACGGTTCCCAAATCAGGCACACCAGAGCTAAGAAGGAGCTGGTCTATATGTACAGACTAGTAAGGGAGAAGAGCAGAAATACGCTCACGTCTCATGCCCGAACACTGATGCAGCCCTCTGCTCGTCCTGGGATAGCCAGCAGGGCCGCACTGGGAATGGTGCATGTGGGAATGGTGCATGTGCACACGCACACACACACCTTGCACACACACGCACGCGTGCCGCAAGGGAGCTCTGCGGGTACTACCTGAGAACAAGGAAGCCATTGACACTGACAGGCCGTTCTTGGACATTTGAATCAGGTTAGATCCATCGTTACCATCTGTATAACACGGTGATGACAAAACAGTTCACTTCAGTGCTTTGGCCAGGCCAAAGAGAAAGGGCATAACACAAGAGCAGCACTAACATCGGAAGAACTCAGAACTGAATCCACACACCCCTCCACAGAATTCAGAACGGAGCCCAAAATCTAGCCCTCAGCGACTGAAACAAGGGCTCTGTTGTCAGCAGTCAGAGACAGGAAGATTGAGAATTTATAGCTGGACACTGAACTGCACTGTCTTCTATTATTGTCGTTTACAGACAGCCTGATTGAAGTATCGCTGAGAAATGAATCCACTCTGGAGGATGAACCAGACTTGGAAAGAAAGGGACACCCAGGGACTCTTGCAACTCTCCTGCAAGCAATAAACTCAGCTACTCAAGCTGCTAGGAGCAGAGCTCACAGTTATTACAAGTCAAGATGTGACCAGCATTCATTGTTCCTATCCAAGAGAAAAAATAATGTTCAAAACTATGACTTCTGCCTGGGCAGGAGAGCAGGGCTCTCCCATCTCTTTCATCTAAACCTGTGACACTAGCTCCACAGACCTGGTAAGTGAAACAGGAACTACCTACACACTAGCAGTGCTGTGCACTAAAGGATTATAGAAGATTCTGAAGGCAAGTCATGTCACCACATGAGGGAAACCTGGTTGTCCTGTTCATGCTCAGGTTTCAGCCATCTGCTTGGAAAAAGCCACCTTGAAGGCCAAGGGACATGCTCCTGTTCAGTGTGACTGACCTCAACACAATCATACCCAGGAGAAGTCTGGTTCTAAGCAAGCACCTAGCATAGCCATTCCCTCTTACCTTGGATCTCATACTCTTCCACATCCTCTGCAGAGCCCGAGTCAGAYAGTCGCATGGAGCCGTGGGAGCTGAACTGGGACTCACTGTCTGTTGCCACAAGGCCTGGGGGACAAAAGAAACCCGACACAGCGAGGCCATCAGTGGGAGCAGTCTGAAGGGATAACTGCCAGCTAAGGGAGAAGCTGAAACCCAGACAGGCCCAGGGTAAGGAGGGACAAATTTTAGAGTGGAAAATACTGTGGAAAATATTTGTGCACAAATGTTACTAGTGTATAGTATCAGTCCTATTAAGGTCTTCCAAAGTTTTGCAAATCTCTGCAACATCCTGGTAATAATATGATTGTTTCCCATGAACAGACAGGAAGACAGGGTACTGCAAGGACAGGTAATGGGCAGAAAACCCACCGCCCACCATTTGATGCCCCCAGAAGACATCACTCACTGTCTGAACCCATCTGGCAGGTAGGGAAGAGGTGCTTGGTGCGGATCTGCTGGCGCCGAATGCGAATCTTTTGTTTCAGTTCCTGTATCTCCTTGTCACTGTCTTCTTCTTCCTCTTCTAGCTGCCGGCTCATCATGTTGCACTTCATCAGCTCAATGGCAGCAATGAGTGACTCTGAGATACTGAAGTGGGCATTCTCCTGTGAGGCAAAAGCTTTCAGGGTTGCATTAGGGGAAACCTGGGGACTTTGGGGAGAACATTGTTCTGGCATCTGTGCCAGGAAAGAGCTGAATATTCCTTGAGGGAGGCAAAACTTCCCTGATCCCTGCTGACCATATGAAACCTGACCTTCTATGAGGACCTAGAAACTCAAGCCCTCCTAAGCACCAGAATTCTTGTAAAATACAGAGTCACCTACACAAAAAGGATGTGTAACACATTCCCTCTGGAGGAGTCCTTAAGGAGCCGTCTTGCAAAGCTGCCATGTATGGGCTGTATGGGCTGATCCTGACTGCCAGACACCAATGAGCAAAACTGAGCATAGATTCAAAACCGAGGTCCTCTGAATAGTTCTAAGGCAGAAAAAAAAATGTGGAATTGTCTTCCCAAGGGAGGGAAGAACTACAGATATACTTTCTCCCATTCATACTTGCTTCTGCTGCATTCCTCACCTTCTCCAGGTCTGCACAGCTGCCAAAGTCCTGTTCAGAGAGATAGCTGATGAGGGACTGCCCTTCTGAAGGTCTTCTGAACATCCCTTCCCCTGAACTCAGGTACTGGCCGGAGTCTAAAAAACCAAAATACCAGCATATGAGGGAGGGACCTGGAAATCCACTGCTGAAAGCACTGGGAAACACCCCACGCTCTGCACTAAGACTCCATCAAGCCCACATGGCCAACAGCTGGCCCATCCCACTGTAAGAACAGAGTAGGCTGATCTTTGCTCCACCCACTCTAGTGTCCAACAGGAAGCAATATGAAGCCCTCCMGATGACAACACAAAATCCCACAGCTGGCATCCTGACATCACTGGAGCACAAGAACTCCTTGATCTCMCAAGGTCCAAGGTAGCACCTACTCCAAAGGACTCAGCAGAGAAAAATCCTGAAACTACTTGACCAGCACAAACACTGCTGGTCCCACGCTGACTATTGCAAATCCCCATCTCTAGCAGCTCCTGTTGCTGGTATTTGGGAGTATCCAAATACTAGCATATCTGGAGGTCTTCATTAACTCAAGTACAGGGCCAGACACACCTTCTGGCTGCTTTCTCCTCAAGAACAAGCTCTGCCAGAGCYCAGCTAGCTCATCACAGAGCCAGCTCCTGTCAGCCTGTATGCCCCAAGCAGGTGCCAGCAGCTGAAGAAACTGCAGTGCACAGAGGAGTCTTGCCACAAGCCGAGGTCCCCACTGGGGCTCCCTGTGCTCACCATACTCCATGTAGAGAGAGCTGGGTGTGCTCACTTCACTGCTCTGACCAGAGACGGGCCCTCTTCTTCTGCCTGTGTCACCATGGGACTCTGTAAGGGAGGACAACATCACACACATCAGCATCCAAGAGGGACCTACCCCAACCCAGAGTRCAACGTGAAATGGAACGAGCTCATTATCACAGGTGACACACACAAATGGATGGAATTCAACGGGAGAAATCAACCACTTGGCTGACGCCACACATGAAATGGAGCAGGGCACTAGCCCATATGCAAACCCAYAAAGAGGACAAAACTAAAGGGGCATTTCAGGCAGGTAAAAAGCAAGCTGATGGCTAAGAGGCACTATCGAACTGCTCTGCAGTGCCCAAGGGCAACTGCCCCTGAGAGAAACAGGAGATGAGAAGGGGAAAGAAGGAGAGAAACTCATGAGAGCCACAGAGCGGTCAAGTCCCCAGTCACCCTCTCTTTAACCTCTAGCAGAATCAGGGAATGCAGCTCCCTCTAGCAAGTGCCCCTACCAGCCTCCTCTTCTGCCTTCTAGAGCATCTTGAAGAGTGACCCACAGAGCGAGGAGTCACGATAAAAGGGAAACCTGCGCAGCCAAGGGACCTGTGGGGCTCCGAGCCCTGGAGAGCCGCCTGGACAGAGGTGGCCGGAGGCGGCTGAAGGACACGYTGACGCTCGGCTAGGACAGGCAGCTTCCCTGCACACGACTCACAAACACAAGGTGAGCTCCTGCGCTGCAGGGCTCAAGGTGAGCGGCACAGGCTGCTGCCAGGCCCCGCTCCGGTGCTGCCCAGTGCCAGGCTGAGCTGGTAGCGACTGCCACGAGCCAGCCTGGTCAGAGACAACCCCACAGGTGCTGCAGGGCTAGCAGTGCCCCTGGAGAACCTCTGAATGYGGCAACGTGAGGGCTGCTGCCCACGGGAAGGCGCAGACAGCTAGGGGTGAGGGAGGAGATTAAAAATACCCTGGAAAGAATGGGGAGGGGAAGGGGAATGGGAACAACTGAAGGGCAAACACTGTCCTTTGCACCTCCTACCCCTCTTCGCCTCCAGCTCCATGCCATAACCCTGAGCAAGGGGCTCCAGAGCCCAGTGACACCAGCTGCTCCTTGCTGCGGCCACCAGAAGCAGCTGGTGCTGCTGGCGGAAAAAAAGAAAATGGCCCTTTTGGTTTTTTGAGCCTTTATTCCCTATATGAGAGATGAAATCTCTCCTGGTTTCTAAAGAAATAGGGAGTGAAAGAGAGGTTAAGGGGAAGCAACACTTCATAACACCATGCAGGAGAGCCAGGCACCATTCTTGGTGTGGGGTCCTCGGTCAGGCAGCATGCATAAACTTAAGGAATCCTTCAAAGGATTGGGACTCAGGGAAGAAATTGTGTTTGTTTTTCTAAATGGACACCAATGGGTTGATGGAAATCCTGAATTTAATGCAGTGATCGCCAATGAAGGGCGGTTACACTGGCTCCCAAACCTGCCACTGGATCTTCTATTATAATGGTGATATCCCTGAGGCCTCCTGGACACAGAGGAGGAGGAGGGCAGCATTAAGGGAGAGAAAACAGAGACAGACTGGTTACCACTCAGCAAGGACCTGCCATTCTCACCAGAATGCAGCACCAGCAGGGCAAACTTCAATGAACTGGATGCTCCTTCAYGTCCCACTCCTCCCCACATCTGTCCACCCACCCAAGAGCACGGGCAGACGCAGCAAATTACCAGCACGGCGGGTGTCGAGAAGCCCAAGCCCCAGCCCCATGCCCTGCAGCGGTCTCAGCCAGGCCAGCCCGGTGGGAAGGCGGCATTGCTGACGCCGCAGCATCGCTGCCATTCCCCAGGCCTAGGCCCACACCAGTAACGGACGGGCACAAGGAATTCTACTCTGGGAACCAGAGCTCAGTTGGCCTCCCTGCACACGGCAGGGCAAAGACCCCATTTCCCACCTGCCCACCCACACGTCTCCTAACTCATCTGTGCTGTGTGGTGCTGAACAGCAGCCAGCACCAGCCTCTCGGTCATGGCACTTCTCACAGGCCACATCTCACCAAATCCAACCCCAAGCCCAGAACAGCAGCCTCATTACCGTGCAACTTCCCCGAAGCCACGTTGGTATCGGAGTGCGAGCGCGTGTGGCTCTTCTTCAGGATGCCCTGTGTTGCTGATGTCTGTCCCTCCGAGAAGCTGGAGCGGCGTAACAGGCTCGTGCCCCTGCTTCCACCTCCACCACTTGCCCCCTGCTCTCCCAAGGAGGAGACCGAGTCCAGCTTCTGGGAGCTGCTGGAGGAGAACAGGTTGGAGCTGCTGCTCTTGGTGCTGGTGCTGCTGGTGCTACTGCAGGCCCGGCCMCGGCGCCCCAAGTTTCCAATGGCCAGGTATTCCGGCCCATCATTAGCATCGCTCTGCGGATCGTCCTGGCTCCCCGTCCAAGTGTCCTCGCTCTGGCTGGTGGTGCTGGAACTCATCTCGCTGGCTGGAGAGAAGGGGTCTTTGGGTGAGGGAATGTGGCAGCGGGTGACAGAGTTGGGCTGCTCCAGAGGGGACTTGCCCACGCTGAAGGAGGAGGACCTGGTGGGCAGGCAGTGCTCCTGAGGCTGGCTGGGGCCACAGAAGACAGAGGAGCTTGCTGGTCTCCTGTCTGGACAGAGGCAGGAACAGGATGTCACACGCCTTGGCACAAGCAACATGCACATGGCTTCAAACCAGCATGCCTGGTCCCCACCAGCAAAGGCAAGGAGTGTCTGTATTAAAACAGGCAGAGCTCTCCCTGCACCAGTCCAGCACAACAAATCAAAGAGCAGAGAAAAGGCCAAGCCTTGTCCTAGCTGCAGCTCCACTTCCAAAGCAGCAGCCCAGACGGTCCTGGCACACACGGGCTACTCCTGCTCTGTGCAGAGGCTCAGGAAGCTCACAGCAGGCACAGGGATCACTCACCCCGCTACGCTACTGCCGGCTGCACAGAGGGGTTTTACAACCCGCTTTTCAGAAGCCTGAGCAAGCCACAAACACGTGCTCCCTAGAGCTGCATTTTAACATCTGAAAGACGATCCAGAGCAAACTGTGGACTCTCAGATGCTGAATGAGCAAGGGGTCTATTCTGAGCTTCCCAGCCCACTCCCATTACCTGAAAGGCTGGAAGAGGCTGGGTGGTGCAGGCTAGAGAAGGAGCCCAAGCAACGCTGCTGCATGCAGTCTGCAGCTGGTACATGCAGGAATCCAGAGGAAGCAGTCAGGCTGTGGCTCTTTGTCACTGGAGACAGACCTTCCCCCTTCCTGGTGAACTGAACAGAGGGGGCATCATTAATACACCAGCACCTACAGGGCCACGCCAACGGAGCAGCTACGGAGACAGCAAGGAATCGACCTACAGTGCCCCGTGTGAGCACCCGGTTACCAGCCAGTGAAGAGAGCTGCAGCTCTGGGGCCCAGAGGGAAGCAGCTAGGTCTGCAGGGTACGGAGAAAAAAATACCATGGCATAGAAGGGAAACGGCTCTCTATTCACAGCAAAGCAGCAGGCTCCCATCTGGAAATTACCGTGCTCTCAGTGCAATGATCCGGGCAGCCTAGTGCCCCAGGCAGACGGCTCCCATGTCCTTCAGCGTCGCGGTCACTCATCTCCCTTGTCCCAGCAGAGGGACCTGACGCGCACACGGGTGGCAGTGACGTGCCGGCCAGCTGGAAGAACAGAGTCCCAATTTAATGAAACATCATTAGTGTCTCCTCTCTGGGGAGCTCTCTGCAAAGAAAGCAGCCACTGTTTCCCTCCTCCAGACGGGTGATGGCTGGCACAGGGCTGCCTCAGGAGTCAGGGGTGGCACCAGAGGTGGGAACCCAGGTGTTCTGGGCCTTGGGTGTTTGCACATCCCCTCTGAGAAGAGCTGTCCCTCAGTACCAGGCACCTAGTCTTGAGGCCTGAGGCCTCAGGGGACCGTTTTAAAGATGTTCCTTACACAGAACTGGTCCCTGCTACCAAGTCCTGACACTCGAATCCTAGAAACCAGCCAGAAATGAGGGGCCTCAATACACACTCCAATTAGCCATCTCCCCCCACCCCGACAGGCTCATATGGACAGTGCAGGGAAAAGGCCATCACTTCCTTCTCTCTTGGAGCTCCTTTCRCTAATTCCAATCCAGGCCCTTGTCCAAGGGCTCTGTGTGCTCYGAATGAGACACTGTATGAGCAGTCACAGCTGGACAGCGTTCCGGGCAGAGCCAGAGGCACAAAGCTGGGGCCTCAACTCACCATGGACGTGTCGATCTGAGCCAGGAGCCTGGGGTTGTTCTGTTCCACAGCCTCCAGGCACTGCAGCATGGCCGTGACGTGGGAGTCACTGAGCAGGAAGGCAGTGTCTGCGGAGAGGACAGTGCTGCTCAGCGCACAGAGGGTTGRGAAATGCAAAGTGCTGGACCAGACCCTAAATCTCCACTCCAGRAGGTGAAAGAGTCTCCCAGGTCTAGCATAAACCTTAGCTGAAAGGCTCCCTTTCCAAATTATTATATTCTGGGCTAAGGTTTTTGTTTTGATTAAAAAGGGGCTGCTGAAAAACTTCTTTCCCCACTGCTAATAGGCACAGGATTGAAGATCAGCCTATTGACACAGGCTGAAGATCCCCTGACAACACAGATGTTTGTCCTTGCTACCAAATTCTTATTTTTGACAAAATTTCAAGCTTTCAAAAAGGTGTGAACATGCACAGAGGTGCATAAAGTTTTTGTTTCAACTTTTATCTACAAAGTGGAAATACAGCTGCATTTCCATATACCATCTAAGGTCAGAGCTTGAGCTTGATGCTCTGTCCTTCCCCCAGGCTCAAGCTCTCATTCAGACAGTGAGGAAAGCCCAGAAAAAAAAAGTACCTAATCTCTGGTAAAGGGGAAAGGCCCAGCTAGATGTTTTAGTAAGAACAGGAAAAAGGCTCATTTCTATTTACCTGAGTAGAACTTCCTTATGTACTGCCTGTTGCCCAGGAGGGGTTTGAGCTGTGCCGAGAGGCAGTGGAACTGCAGGCTGTGCTGCAGCCACAGCTTCGCAACAGCCTGGTCGCTCAGGCCGTCAGCGTTGGGCTGCCCGTCCTCATGCAGGCTGATGAACTGCAAACGAACACCACGGCAGTCAGGGCKTGCAGAGACTAGCAGGGCGGCAGAGATTATTCCACCCTTCCAGCTCAGGCGCCAGTCCCCGCAGGGGGAACACAGCCACATCCTAGCAGCTTCCTAGCTCCTCATCGAGGCAGGACGGGGAGACAAGAGCACCGGAGAAGAACAACACTTCAAAGGTCAACCAGCACCAGTGACCAAAGTTCTCCTCCCTACAGCCACCAGCACTACGTATTTCTCCTACATGCTTTCCCACCCATATGTCACAGCCCTGACCTCACAAGACCCCACGCTCCCCAAAGCAAATGCTTTCCTGAGGGGATGACCATCATCTTGCTGACACATTAACCGAGGAACATCACAGCTCATAGCCTGGGCTGTTGCAGCTTGAGTTGTAGAGCTGGACTGTGCTGCTGAGGGCACTCACAGCTCACATCCTCCTGAGCCAGCCTTGAGCACGGGCCCAGGAGCAGCTTGCACATACAGACGTGCAGTGCTCAGCTCTTTGCATTCCTCCTCATGGCTYCTCAAGAAGACTGCAGCAGAGGCCACCCGCCCTGCTCACACTTCCGTGCCTGTGCCACAGAGGGAGCGACCTGCACTGGGGTGTCTGTGAGGGCACAGGGGCCGAGGAGCGAGAGCATCCCCCATGTCAGCATAGGGCAAAAGCCAGGAACAGAAGAACCAAGGGAATAGTCAGGCCAGGACACAACCAGGAAATGAGGCAGCCCAAACCTTTAGAGATTTGTACAGCTGCATAAATCACCCGTTAGCACAGAGAAGTATCATTTGTGCTGGTTCCCTTGGTGACGCCTTTTGTACCAACCTCGTGGAGTTGGAGAGTGGCCTGTGAGAAATAAGTGGCCGATTGTCTCAGCCTAAACCATGGGCTTGTCACAAACACAAGGCTGCCCTGCTTGGTTCAGCCCCACATACACAGGGCTGGGGAGCCATCCCCTCCCCGCGAGCTCCACTGTCCGCCACTTCATCTGCCACAGGCCAACAGTGGAGGCAAAACTGATTCCTCAGGGAGGCTCATACGCCAGCCGCCCGCTTCCTTCCCTGCTGGGGACACGGAGCCACCCCACCAGGACTCACCTTTTCCACATGATGAGCAGAGTTGGGACTCAGCCAGCGAATGTCTTTCACGAACTGCCAGTAATCCTTTTGTCTGCAACACAGCTGCCCAGGAAAGGCACCGTTAGACTCCCCGAAAGCCCCTCTGCAACACCCACTGGGWGCAGCAAGTTCACAGCAGCAAACCTGGACATCAGACACCTCCAGCAGAGCTGCCACATGAGATTCAACAGGCACCGAGAGGGAAGAAGTGATTAAATCCTTCCGAGCAGAAGCGATACGATAGAGCTGGCCCTCTAGGACAAGGCATTCAAGCTACAACCTGTCAGGACAGATCGTAGAGCCCAATCTGCCCCCAACAGCCACTTGCCTAAAGGCTTCGGGAAGGGGAACTGTTCTGATGGCAACGCCCACCTCTGGTTTGTCCTGAGATCTTTTTATATCCAAAGAGGAAGCAGACATTTGACAGAGTAGGTGAGACAACTGGCAGAGGAGAAACAACTGGAAGGATACACAGAGCCCAAGCAAAGACTGGGCAACCCCAGGCCAGGGCTGCCAGTCCTGAAGCCTAGCCCAGGGCATTCACCTTTCATAACACAGAAGAACTGCAGGCCTGCTCAGTAAGGCCTGATCACCCTTTTCCCTGGACAAGGGAGTTGTGTAACCCAGGGTTCATCTCGCCGACCTTGCTGCCGTGAGGAAGAACAGGCCTTTGAATTGAAGCTGCCCTCCCTGCTGCTGCAGCAGGCAGTGTCTCTCGCACGTAGTGGGCAAARCATCAGGGCAAGTTGGGTGCCTGGCCCTGCAGAACCTCAGCACCAGCTAAAAGGCAGATAAAAGAGTAGCCCCATCTTACTGTGAGCCCCTAACCCTAGCAAGATGGGAAAACGGGCTCACAGAAAATAGAGAAAAATAATGAGAGTAAAAGAAAGTTATATTGACACAAAAGGGGACAGAGACCAAGTAAAGCAATACTGGCCTGAGGCAGATAAGTCATTTACTGTTCCTGCCACACTGACCCACCAGTTGTGCATTCAGCTCCACAAGCACAGCCACAACGAGACAGCAGATTCCCAAGCTTTTTTTAATCCCATCAAGTAAGATCCCAGTCCATCACACAATGGAGACAGGATATATCTTTAGACACGGATGGGACATGGCACTGGAAGGCCCCAGCCCCTGCTGCAGTGCAATGAAGACCCTAAAGACCCGCATTGCCAACTGCAGCTCATCATGGAGCCTGGAGTGGAGCCAAGGCCAGAAAAGGGCACACAGATAGAAGGAATCCCTCCTCAGATGCTACCTGCTACCCCTCAAACTCAAATTAGAGAATTGTGCTCAAAATCCTCCCAATCTTCCCACAAATCACTCCATCCCTCCTTGCTTATGGTATTTGAAGGCGTGCCAAGTCCAAAGTTGACGGAGTTCCCATTATCACCGTTCCTCTTCCTGCTAGAACAAGACCCGGAGGAGGGACCCAACGACTCAGCACTGCCCAGAGCCTGACCTCAGCAAGGGGACACAAAGGGCAGCACAGAAACACACCCGGACGAAAACAGAAACCACTGCTGTCTCCTAATATAATATAACCAACAAGGACACCAGTAGGGCTGAGTGCAGCAGATAAGAAACATGATACAACATGCTCCAACGCTGCATTTCTCCTAGCTCTTTGTTGTTGTTTGCCTCACCTTTACTCAGACAATGAGTTATTTCTTTTCAGTTACTCTTCCAGTTAAGAGGAACTGCAGATGAGTTGCTATTTACCCCATCCCTCTATCATGTAAAAACACAGCCTCAAAATGTCTCTCTTAGCCAAAATGCTAATTTTCTCCTCCATCTTTATTTCCTCTTTCACAAATGTCAGACAAATATGTTCTGTTTTGTGGTTTCTCTGTTCTTTTTTCTGAGAAGCTTAAGGTTAGAGAATTAGAATGGAAATTTTAGCCTTCTAGATCCAGTTGTTTTTTGATGAAGAAATAAAATTCACTCAAAAGTTAAAATTCTCTCACCTGGTTCTGTTAACATGTACATATGGAAATTTTCATCATTRTTGTTTTTATTCCTTGTTGTAAAAACAAAGTTGATGTAAAAACAGATAAATAAAAGGAAGTAGTTAGCTGAAACAAATAAAAAAAAACTGCTAGGAAACTTTCTATTTTTATTAACCTCCCTTTGCAGCTATTTTAGATCCAGCCTTCTGTAGTATCACACATCCCTAAGCACCAGAGACATTACTAACTAAAAGAACCGCCTTTACATAGCAATAAAAGCATCAAGAWAGACAAACATGCTGTTTAAATTTTCTAAAGCTGTGGCGTGAAAAACAACTACTACACAGACAAGGATGAATCACCCTAGACTGTCAGAAAGGAGCAGTGCACACCTTGCRTTTAAGAGCTGACTTCTTTCTCTGTGTCTCTGCTTACCTCCCTGCAAAGGTCACTAATGTGCACCATCCTTAACGAGGACAGGGCCGCCCTCAGCTAACGAATTTAGGTAGCAAAGCGCCACGCTGGGAGGGCCTCTCTCACTCTTTCTGCAGGCAAAATAATAAGCTTGAGTGCAGCATTATATAGGTGCAATTTTGCCACACCTGGAGCCCAGCCAGCCCTGTGCAAACCCTTCTGGTTTCTCTACCCTGCTCATTTGGTTGCAGAGCTGGCTGAGGGGAAGCTTTCCCCAGAGCATGCCCTGCAGCCTTGCTTTACCTTTCCACTGAGAAATAATTGTGGTGCAAGGAGCAAGCTGAAGGGGAGATCTTCAGGCCYCTGCACACAAAGACTCTCCCAGAGTGGAAAAGAAAAATGCTGCCAGGCACTCGTGGAGAAGGGAATGGCTGGATGAGCAACTGCGAGGGGTGATGAGAGTGTGGAAAGACATCCCCTTGATGCAGAGTGCAGACCAGGCTGCGGCCACAATTATTAACACAGCTAATCAGAAACAGTAAATTCTCTTGCCCAACCTCACTGGGGAGTTGTCCAAGTCCCCATGATACGAGGCTGACTCACAGTGAATTCAGCTTTATCATTTTGCTGCAGGCTGCAGCAGGAAGAAAGAAGAAAGGGGCAGGTCTCTCACCACAGAGGACAACACAGGTAATTGGAAAAAACATGTCAAAGTATTTGTGACTGAACGAACACATACGCAGGTCCCTCCTCCAGCTACAGTGCCTGCAAAGCAAGCTCATTTCCTGCTCTAATTATTTCCCCCACTGATGCAAGCATTGTACTCAATCCATACTATAAGCATTAAAGAAAACTGCAAGCAGATAGATCCAGGTGAGCCACTCAGGGGCTGACACCAAAGCTGCTCGGACAGACAGCAGCGTTGGCAGGACAGACACCTACCTTGTCGTGGATGAGCCCGTGATAGAGGATGCTGTGCATGTCTCTGCAGAGCCGTTCCAGGCCGCCATACTTAGACCAGACGTTTGGGTTGCTGGTGGACACCAAACCTTCCACCGTGGTCTTCAGGTTGCCTAGCAGCTTCCAGTGCTCCTTCCTGCAGAGGAAAACAGCAAATTCCCTAATGAGCATCAGAGAGCTGAACAGCAGCTGCGGAGGAGGACGGCGGTAACACATCCTCTCCAAGGTCACTTTGGTCAGTTGGAAACCTCTGGTAGACCAGAAGCTAGCAAGGCTAAGGTAGGGAGCCTTACACCTCCCTCTGCCCTAGCCCTGCCATGGCCAGTGGACCAGAAGCCCTGCAGTAACGCTTGTGATGACYGGTACCTGCAGCAACACGGTCTCAGGTGATGGAGCATGAAGGTGTCTGCAATGTACTGTACAGTATCGCCCAGCAAAGACTGAGGACCTCTTTTYCAACCAGGATATTGCCTAATATCAGATGCAAGGCTATCAGAGACTATCGAAAGTAGGAGCATTTCAGCTGTAGGAGCATTTCAGCTGAGGATGCACAGCAGCCATAGGGCAACATCGTGACCTACACCAACCTACACAGCATCAGCAGATACACCAGCAGCCCAGGCTGCATCCACCAGCACTCTGCTGAGCAGTTTGCTCTGCATCAGGCACTTCAGCACTTCCAGCATGAAGAAATGCCCCGTTCCCCAGAGGGGAAGTCTGTGAACGGGCTGGGGCAAACAACCATTTTAGCTGTTCAAACCCAGCACCTGGGAACAAGACACACTGTCCCACGGCGTAGAAGACAGGCACGTGGGCAGCCATGGGGCTGCTCTCTGTCCCTGAGCTGCTGCAGATAAAAGCAGCCRTTCTTACAAAAAGCCAATTACATTCTTGACAGAGATTAACAACCTGTAAATGGCAGGTGTACTCGAGAACTTGGGCAGCATTTCTCATCAGCAGCTGCCCTGTGTACAGCAAAAAATTAATTACCATTAACAGCCACAAAGAGGGAGTGACAGAAYGGAAAGGTAGGGAGATTTGCCTGTGCAAAGGCAGCTCTGGAGAAGGAAATCTTGGAAGATTCACTTCTGGCCCTTCCCACTCAAGCTGCTTGACAGTGTAGCAGCAGAAACACCAGCTGTCAGACAGACAGATTGAGATGGGAGCAACTCTTCCAGCAGCAATAGGAATGTTGCAAGGCATGTTTGGGTGTGGAAATGCCCCCCAAAATCTGCTTCTGCATTTTTTTAAGCATTCAAGATGACCTCGTAGAATGAAAGCCTGATATGTTAACTCACAAGCAGCAAGCACAGTCAGTAATTCCTCCCAGGAAAGGCAACTTCCTGAGGTTTTTTTCCACTCGTGCCGTGGCTGCACAAAGCAGGAGGCTGGGCCCCTGGTCAGAGGGCAGCTGCTGGCAGCAGTTTCATTTCATCAGCTCCTTCCCAAGCTATTTCTAACACCCAGTGTTAAGTAATGCAAATGAAAGCCCTGTCAGTTCACACTGTCAGTACAAACCAGTGAGTCAGGGAAACTCCCTCTTTGTTATTTTATGCTATAAAAAGAATGTGATGCTCACAGGAACRCAAGGCTGGTACACACTGGGTGACAGCAGAGCCCTTCCTAAATGACCTATTTTGTTAAAGAAGGAATTGAGGGTCTCCACAGATRTTGAGGGTCTCCAAAAGACTGGAGTCACAACTTGCTCTTAACACTGGGAGACAAATATCAATTAATTAATCCTTTTAAAATAACCTCAAATGTTAAGATAGCGCCTCCGCCACTGAACTCAAATGCACACAGGACACAAACAGCAGAATAACAGCATCTCTGCTGAGCTGATTCAGAAGCCACCAAAAGTGAATTATATCCCTGAATCAACAGCGAGAATCCCATAGGACCGAAGCTGTTGACCCAAAGGATTCAAGAGCAGTTCCCAAGCTGGATGCAGAGGACTCTGCTGATGCCCAGGACGCAGCTGCCTCTAGGCTGTTTCAGCAGGTGCTCACAGCAGTACTGAGAAGTCCGTCTGTTTTTACCGAATAAAGAGATTTCTTCTTTGCAGTTCTAACCCAGCTTAACCCAGGCTCATAAAGAGGCAAGAACGAGTGAAATCACATCACAGGAAAAAAACGCGAAATTTCTCACCCCTGATGCAAATCATGCTACTTCCAGGAAGGGCCAAGGCAGCAGCAGACCCACGGTGGGTCACGCTGCATGAGCAGAGTTACCTCCACAGGAATCACATCTGCTGCTGCCTTCGTGTTTTAGCATAGCCTGGTTTTCACCACCAAGAGGAGCTGAGAGCATTTGCACAGTTCCCTGCCGCGTCTCTGCTCCGGTTCCACAATTACAGCAGCTGCTGCCAGGCTAACTGCAGCATTTTCTCAAATGCTGAAAGAAGGCTTGGCAGGAAGGGTGGCTCGCTCTGCTCCCTACCTGAAATGCAGCTGAATTTCTCAGGCTTTCATTCAGAAGAGCTCAGTTCTAGCCGGGGATGTAGGTCAGGCAAGAATCTGRATGTGATCTGACTGCAGAGGAGACACTGACAACACCACAACCCAGATGCCAGTGAGAGTATTTCCGGGAGAAACAACATGCTGGGTGGGCCTGCACAAAATATGGTTGTTATCTGAAGGATTACGGTACACTCCTTCACACAGCAAAAAAAGTATAATTCCATCCTGAAAGTTGTGAGCTTCAACAGATTTTCCCTAAGGTTATTGGGAGCAAAAAAAAATCCCAGATCCTTATTTCAGAGCTGCCCATGAAATCTGAAACTCCGGAATATCAGTGAGACTCACATACATTTCTCTTTAAAGATGCTCCCTGACTCAGCCTCCCACTTTAACCACCAGCTCCGTACAGTCAGCCTGGGAGCTCCCTGCTTTCCAATACAAACTCCATCTCCAGCTGGAGCCATATCAGCTCATTGCCAGGAATTGCTCCAGGCATAATTGAAGCTTTTACAGTGCAATAATACAGGCAGAATCCAACCTTGGAGTTAGAAATTGCTTGATGCCACTGCAGAGGGGATSATGATGCAAGTCTCTCAATCCTTCTGCACTCCCAGAGCTTTCTCAGTCCCTCCACGCCAGCACGAGCAGAAATTTCTTTTGGACCAAGTCAGCAAAGGTGACTCACGGCAGATGAAGGAAGCCACGCTGCTGAGTCAGGCGAATGCCTTCATTTAAAAATAGCCCCTCCGTTACAGTCCAAAGAGGATGCAGAGGCCACGGACACAACGGACGGGACAATCTTGGAGCGAAGGCACCTGTGAAGCGCAGTCCTGCCCCAGCGCAGGGACGTCCCGCTGCAAGCAGCTGGCCCCAGGCAGTGACAGGCAAAGCAGGTCCTGGCTATGGCTGCGTTTCAGCCTCGTCACTAAAGAGAAGAGACAGCAAAAGCAGCAAAGAGCCTCCTTTTCCTCTCCTGCTCTCCTCTTTTTCCTCTCCTGCTCCTGCACAGCGCTGGCACCAGAGGGGACGGAGCCCTCCTCCTTCCCGGGACGATTACACAGGACATCTGCATCCACTTCAGCCTCTTCTCACCTACCTTCCAGGCTGCAAAGCAATCCAAGAAAGAACAGAGCTGCCCTGGGCTCTGCTTCTCAGGCAGTGGGTGCAGGGGAAAGAAAACAAAAATGAATGCAGCCAATTCCATCTACCCTTCTGAATCTGCCGAGTTCGAGACATCAGCTCAAAGAGGCAGAACAGCTCAAATCATTCATATAAAAATAGAAGGCCACTCCTGCAGCAGAATTTAAAAAGCACCATGCATTACTAGCAGAAACATTCCAGCTAGTTGGAGTTTGTCAGATAAGGAGAGTGTTTCTGCTATCGAGTTTCAGCAGTTCCCTCCTCCCCAGCCAGGGCTCTCATTTTCCTCCCGCAACGTGTGCCCCACACTCCCAAGCAGCAACGCAGGATGCAAGCACAAGGCAAAGACTGCAAATATGAMAACAAAAGTGATCTGAAATAAGTAAGGCATTATGAAGATACCTCCAAAGAAAACCCGCTGCCACTTGAGTAAACGACAGCAAGAAAAACCCTGCCTAGAGCATAAAACAAGATCAMCCCATGAAGCTCCCGCCGCGTCGCGTTCTCACAGCTGCATCCACTGCATTGTCACCCGTGGGCGSCCCGGGGCCCAGGCCTCTGGCCACGTGCCGAAAGGCCTCGTGTTAATAAACACGAGCTAAAGATCGATCCTAAACCCGCGCATCAGGCAGCGCTGCTGGGGGAAATGGGGCCTAACCCAAACACCGCTGCGACGGCCGATCCAGGGATGGTTGATGGGACTCGGCCGCGCGGCCACCGCCGGACACGTACGTGTTTCACACCCCTATACACGCACACAATCTTATACACACGTCTACATGTTTGATACCCCATGCACGCACACAGCAATCTTATACACACATATATGTTTGATACTCCTATACATGCACACAATTTTATATACATGTCCACATGCTTGATACTCCTATGCATGCACACAGCAATTTTATACAGACATACGTTTGACGCCCCTATACAGACACACAGCAATTTTATATATGCATACGTTTGACACCCCTATACACGCACACAGCAATTTTATACAGACATACATGTTTGATACCCCGTATACATGCACACATCAATTTTATATGCATACGTTTGATATCCCTATACACACACAGAGCAAGTTTATATACACGTACATGTTTGCTACCCCTATGCACACACACAATTTTATATACACATACGTCTGATACCCCCTATATATGAACACAGCAATTTTATATACACGTACATGTTTGATACCCCTATACATGCACACAATTTTATATATGCATACATGTTTGATACCCCCTAGGAATGCACACAGCAATTTTACATACATGTACATGTTTGATACCCCTATACATGCACACAGCAATTTTATATACATATCCATGTTTTATACTCCCTATACATGTACACAGTAATTTTATACCTGTGCATGTTTGATACTCCTATACACACATGCAGCAATTTTATACATGGATCCATGTTTGATGTCCCTATGCATGCACACAACAATTCTATACACGGATCCATGTTTGACACCCCCTATACACGCACACAACTCTGTACACGTACATATTTGATACCCCTATGCACACACACAACAATTCTATRCACGGATCCATGTTTGACACCCCCTATCCACGCACACAATGATTTTACACACACATACATGTTTGACACCCCCATGCACACCCCCCACACACACATCTCCCGGCCGCCCCGCACACCCACGAGCGCRTCACCCTCGCTGCACCCGCAGCCACAGAGACACGCGGGCAGCGTGTCCCCACGGCATGTCACCGGCGCCCTGTGTCACACACACCCCACGCACACAGCGTCACACMCCCCCGCTGTCACGCCCCGCAGCCCCGCGCGCACCCGCGTGTCACGGCCGCGCACACACGGACGCGTCGCCGCCCCCGCCGCGGCCCCCACCTGCTCTCCGCGTGCCCCGCGCGGGGCCCGATCTCCATCCCGGCCGCGCGGCCCCGCCGCCACCGCCGCCCTCCCTGTCACTGTCGCCGTCACCGTCACGTGGAGCCCGCACCGCCCACAGGCCTCGCGAACTACAACTCCCGGCGAGCACCGCGTGCAGCGGCGGCCGCCGGCGCTTGCGGAGCCCAGGACTCCATGTCCCGGCGTGCCCCGCGGGACTACAGCTCCCGACGTGCCCCGCGCAGGGGGGAGTTGGGGGAAGGCGGCGGCAGTGGCGGCTCGGAGCCGTTGGCGGGCGGGAGCTGTCAGCCATGATAAGGGAGAGCTGGATGCGGGGCGGCCGCGGGATTTAGGCGTCTGCTCAGCGAGATACCCGCTCGCCGAGACTGCGTCGGGAGTCCTGAGCAAAACCAAGCCGCAAGCGCCCCGCGGGCAGAGGCGGGAGGTGGTTTTCTGCTCTGTCGTTCGCTGTAAAGAGCTGTGGAAAAGATGCCGGAATCCTGCGGACTTTCCACTGGAAAATCAAAGAAATCAAACTGGAAAAAGTGGCGCTGCTGACATCAGGTTGAGAACGCTCCGTGACAGGCGGCTGTGGGTGGGGAAACCCAAACGTGTCTCCGGAGCCGGTGGCTGTGCCAGGGCTGYCCCGGAGAGCTGAGGTTTCCATGGTTGTACTCGGTGGAAAATTCCAGTAACTGTTCCTCTTAGCTCTAAATAGGTGATCCTCACTGCAATACGTTCACAAAGACACATACTGTATATATGCATACATTGATTGGCTTATAGGATTGAACCRGGACTAAAAAGGAGGATAATCTCCCAATTTATACTGCAGGGACAAATTTAAGCAGTGCCAATAGAGGACAGCACAGTTCAAAATATGAGAGCAGATCTTAATGCTAAACAGTAGTGAAATCCAGAGCCTTGCAGACCAATTTCCTGCTTGGGGAATTTTGGGTGACAACAAGTCAGCCATTAACTCACTGTCGTTTCTTTTCAGACAAAAAGTATCTCTTGGAGAAGGCAGAATTGGCAGACGCTGGTGGATGCTAGAGAATCCCATGATAGGAGTAAGGTACTATTTCTAAGGGAGGCTGTATCTTGGAGAAAAAAAAAAATCAGAAACCTCATTTGGAAGATGCTAGCAGCTCATGTATTTCTGGGATCAATTCAGGTGGGATATTCTGTGGTCTGTAACATACAGAGTGTACTAGATGGTCTCCTCTGGCTTTTAATCTGAGTGCCYTTAGTAGCTGATACTTTGCTTATGGTTTCTGCTTGCTAATTGCAACAGCTCCTCCAATGAATTTCAACCATGCTGTTTAACAGGTAACGCCTACTGTGTAAATCCTTCACAATGTACTATAGCAAGAGGGGTTTCTGGACAGCCAGACCCTGCTGTCTGGTTTCTGAGGGAGCTACATGTGCTGAAGAAGAGATGGGGAAGGAGAAGAGCCATCTCCAACATGTGCTGTAGCCTGGGGTCGCTTCAGACACAGTGTCTCTCTTTGTTGGGATACAAACTTGGAAGGATTGCATAGCATTTCAGTAAGTGAAAATGGTGTTAGCTGTGCAGACTGAACTGAGTAAGAGGGAAATGAAATTACTCAAATATACCCATGTGTTGACATACCAGACTCTACTAATAAGAGAATAAATATGCTGCTACTCTCAAAGACACTGAGAGTTGGAGCATGGTGTGGGAAGAGCAAAATACAGTCTGCCACAGAACAAAGTTCTATATATGGCTAAAGTACCAGACATTTGTACTTCAGTGCCACATGGAGCCAGTGTCACTTGGCTAGAAGCTGCCATGTTCCTGAGGACTAGACAGCAGTATGAGGGCTGTCGACTGCTTTACAACCTACATGGTCCCTGCATTATTTTGGGTGCTTGGAATTCTGAAGAAACAAACTCTTGAACAAATGGTCTTCAGCAGCAGAACCTTCCCTTGATTTTCTGTTGTGCTGAACAGCAGACTGCTGACATGCTGTTTTGATAAGAAATGCCACCATCTGATGTGGTACAATCTGCAATTTGTCTTCCACCTGTCACAAGGGCAGGCGGCATCTGTCACCTTTACAGCTAGTGTATTTGTGGCTGGTTAAACAGCATTTGTTTATCACAAAGTCACCGGATGGAGCTGTGCCTCATAGCACCACAGATAAGTGGTGTAAAATTTTACAAAAAAAAACATGGCATTTGATTCTGATATTGCTAATACTGGTATTTATTGGTAACTTGGTAGTAGCATCTTCCCATTGGAAACAGAACCTTGGAAAAACTCAAGTCGCACTCATAGCAATGTCTAGAGGAAAACACATTTCAAATCTCTGACTCCAGGACTTGAAGTGAAGCTGTCCATGGTGAATATGGAGGAGAAGGTGAGGTCCTAATTCGTGGCTTCGTGCGCTCCTTGCAGGTTCCTCTTGCTTGGACAAAGAGAAAATCTATCACAAACTGAAGATGTCCTACATCATTAATTGAACCATTCTCTTCTATGCAGTAGAAAGCAGCAAGATAAACATCCAGAAAGACTTTATTTGCCTTATTTTAAAAGGAGAGTGCTGCATAATAAGGGTAAAAGTGCAAAGCCCTGTTACTGATCTGCTCTGAAGTCAAAACAGAGACCAGAAAGCCTCAGCAGCTCCTCTGATCTCTGAGGATACTTGGTTTACACTGTGTGCCTGTCTGTTACTTCCTTTAATATCCTGTGAACACATTGACCAAAGCTGAGCAAGATGTAGAGATTTCAGCAATAATTACAACCACTTAGGTTTAATACAGGGTGCTTGGATGGAGGAAAGATGTCCCACTGGATGAAGAAGAGAGATCCCAGCCTGGATATAACCCATCTAGCAAAGTCCTGGCACTTATGTGCTGCTAGCCCCTCAGCAGCGCACACAGCCCCCAAAAATGCGAATATAAAGAAAAAAAAAATAGTCCTTATTAGTTTTCACCTTCAAGTTGTTCCTGTTTTGTGGAGGGGTCCCCCACCAGGCTCATGGCGCCCCCTCTTGCCCACAGGGGGCGGCAGCACCTCGGCGCATGCGCTATGTTCCACAGCGGGCAATGATTACTGCGCATGCGCAGAAGGCAGAKGGGAGGGCAAGCCCGAGCGCTGCCCGTACTTGGTGTGGGCAGAGGTTGCAGCGCATGCGTTGCCGCACCCTGCGCATGCGCGCGGCGCGCTCGCGGTTGGCCGAGGCGGCGGTGGTCGTGCAGGCAGCCATGAGCGCGTTCGGGGCCGCGAAGCCGCTCTCGGGCTCCTCGGCCGCGCGCAACGGCAGCAGTGACAGCCTGGAGAAGATCGACATGTCGCTCGGTACGGAGAGCGCCCCGGGCCCGGCGAGGGAGACAGGGTTGCGGGCTGAACCAAGTACTGGCGCTCGCGGGGGAGGAGCGCGCTCCGGAGCGAACCGGCCGGGCGGAACCAACGGGGGAGGATTTAGGGGGGACAGACCGCGCCGACTGGGGCGGAGGGGGGAGCGGGGCCCTACCATGGCCGGAGCGCGGCGGGGGCAGCCGGCCGGGCCTAGCTCGACTAGGCTTGGCTTAGCTCGGCTGAGCTCGGTGCGGCGGTGGGTCCCTTTGTTCCGCCGGGAACGGGTCCCGGGGAGCCGGCGGGCCCGGCCTGGCGCCGGGGCGGGCGGCGGCCGCTCTCCCGTGCGGCTCCCCTGAAGCGGCTCCTCGGCGCGATGTTGGCGCTGCCCGGTGCTTCCCTGTGGAAATCTGGCAAAGACGAGCCCCAGCTTTCCCGTGTGGAGCCTTTCTAAGGGAGAGGGTTTGTGTTCACACTTAYTAATTATTGTTGCAAAGATACGAGTATGGGATAAAGCCCATAAAACCTCCAGGTGGTTGTTCGTATTAGGGAAGTTTATGAATCCTCATAAAATGTCTGTGGAGCTGCCTCTCAGTGGAACCTCCTCTGGCTCTCTCACTGAGGCCCCATAAGGCTGGGGGACACATTTGGCACCTTCCAGAAGTGCRTCTTGCAGTCCAGGTTTGTGCAGAAAGTGTGGAGTTTGCCCCAAACTGACACAAYGCTACCGAAGCCTGGTACATGGATATAACTGGGGCCTTCCTTTAAAAAGTGGATTTGTTATTTGAGTTAGAGAATTGATTTAGATCCAGTCATTGTGGCTTGACTCAGAATAAATGGATTTTTCAGTTTGTTTTCTGATGATGTGCAGAGATTTTCTGAATGTGGAATTGTTTTTATGTAAATCTCTTTTTACTTTTAATCTCATAGACTGAGATTTAATCTCATAGGCTGAGACTGACTGAATCAATGTGTTTCCAAGGCTACCAGGACTAAGGATCATTGATTCTGAGTAGCTCTGCTTTTGCTGATGGTTTTTTGGCCGTATTCCTTTGAGTAAGTCACATGCAGGTTCCTGGACATTGACTGATACTAGATTGCAAAGAACTTCTGCAGCATCATAGATGACACTTTATTTAAGAAGCTGTTGTGGGTGTCCCTTAACAGCTTTAGTTGAAGAGTAACTTGCAAGAAAACAGTGTCATCCATGCCTACTGTTCTCAAGTCAACGCCACGACCTGTGCTGTGTAATTTGCAGTGAGCAAAGATTAGATATAATGCCACGTCTGTCACAATATCAATAAAGCTGACACGATGAGCCTGGGAATCCAAAGATAAAGATCTTAATGTTTGGTTGTGTATTTGGTCTTGCCCGTGAAACATAGCAATTCATATCACATAGGGGAGTGGAAGTACCCATTAAGCAGAGTTATATGTTTGCTCTTAAAAGTTTGAGAAGCTTTTTGTCTTGCGTTTCCTTTGTTGTATGAAAAGGATAGCTCCGGAATCCCCGAACCTGGGATGATCCTCTGGTAAAGAAGAGTCTCTAGACATCAAACCCTGACTGTGTCTGTTTTCTTTTTCTTTTTTTTTTCCCTTAATACACAATCATTTCTACAGTAAAGGAAGCTAATTTCCTCCTATTGTTACTTCAGTGAGATGCAAAACATTTGATTTTTTTTCCTTTTTTTTTTTTTTTTTTGGTCTATCCAGTGAAGTCTGAATATAGTTGTATATATAGTTCTCTATATAGTTCTCATATAGTCTCTCCCTGAGTTAAAAAGGGATGTCCACATCCCTATGGTAGCTGATACCAATTCTGCTTCCATGATCTAGATGCAATTTAACATTTTCTTCTATGCTCATTCTATAAGCTGTCTAGAATTCAAATAAACCTGCTTTACTGTCATCTCCTGAGGCACCTACCTTATTAGTGAAGGAAATACAACTGGTTTGACATCATTTGTGACAAACTTGCTGTTTACTTTCCATTGATTGTTGTTTTCAACATGTTCTTAAACTGATAATAATTTATTCCCCGTTATTTTCCAGGATAACAGGTAAGATGATTGGTTTGGCTTGGAGATCGCTGGGGGAGAGAGATCTTCCTTGCTTTTCTTCCTAATGATCTGGACCCCAGTGAACTTASGAAGAAATCTGTTTGCCTGAGTTCTCCCTGCATGACTTTTAGGACCTTTGGATGAAAGAGCTGAGACTTGAATTGACTTTTTGTCTGCARTTTGGAAAGTGGGAGTTAGGTGGGGCTACCTTTTCTTTACAGGTAGTATACACAAACTAACAGACAGTCATTAGACATAAAACTTAATACTGGACTAAATGACGTAAGTTTTCAAGCTTCTTGGGTATTCTGAATGAATGTAACTGCTTGTCTTTCTGTTGGGGCAATATTTTATAAAATATGTGCTCTTAAGATTCGTGGTCTGGATGTTTTATAAAGATAATATTTCTGGAACTTTAACTTGTATGTGCTAGCTTTGCAAGATTAACTAGTCTGTTCCACCCATCTTCAAGCTGCTAGGGGTTTTCTTCGGAACTGGAATTTATCTGCAGAGTATCAGAATTTTTTTTTTCCCCTTTTTCTCCTCCCCCTTACAGATGATATAATCAAGCTGAATAAAAAAGAAGAGCGAAAGCAATATTCCCCCAAAATGAAAAGGGGGCTTCAGCAGAATGGAGCTCGGCAGTTCAGGACATCAGGCTCCAAGTGGGGAATCCAGCAGCAGAAGGGTGTGTATCTTAATTGTAACATGGGGTGCACAGTAACTCTGTGAGCTGAAAAGTGACCTATTGAAAATGTGTGTGAAAATGTGTGGTTTGACGTCGTCAATTCAGGTGTATTTCAAATAGTGCCATGTACAGCTTTGACTGTAATTCTGTTCTTGGTGATCCATTTGTATTTGACTTCATATTTGGTTCAGTCAGAACAGCATTTTTAGATTTTATTTTAATTCGGGAAACTGTGTTGATGCTTTGTTCCCATTCAAAGATGGGAAGAAAGAGTGCTGCTAATCTCAAACCCTGTGTACAGGGAAACGTGGAGGCCTTTGCCAGACCTCAGAGCTTTGTGCAAAACAGCCAGCATATTTGTGTTTGCGAGGTAAAATTTTCCTAGTAGCTGGCTCAAAAATAGCTCTTGCTGCAGACTCTAGTGTTGCCATTGTGATATACAAAGGGATAGTCCAGAGTGTCTGAGTCAGCTTTTCTGGGTAAGACCTTGAGCCTGGTGCGGTAGCACCAGGTTTCTTAACTCCATGTTTATGCAGCAGAGTAGAAAAGTAGAGAAAAAAATACTAGAGAAGGGGTTATGAGGGGAAGAATGCACAGTAACAACCTATTGTAGAATGCACAGTAACAACCTATTGTAGATTGCCTGAGCACCTCTTGGCTTTTTCAATAAAGAGGATTCACATGCTAAAATGATGCTCAGGTGTTACTGCAGTACTACTAGCACTTGCTTAAGTTAAGACTGCTTTTGCTTTATGTTTAGTTTTTAAAAGTATTTTTTCAGCAGTGGATGGTGCTCTAGGTGACCCTGCGTGAGCAGGGGGGTTGGACTCGATGACCTCTGAGGTCCCTTCCAACCTTCGGCATTCTATGATTCTATGAAAAATACTGTCTAATGAAGAAGTTTACTGCTTCAGTCCAAGTGAATGAGGTATTTAGCATACAGGTTCTTWTTTTTTTAAGTATCAAAGTGTATGTCTTCCTAGAGTGCTGGTCACAGTAATTTGCAGTAATCCCCATTTTATCTTTATTATCGTTTAGTATTTGTTCTAGCAGCATCCTTGCTCAGCACCCTATATATCGGATGCATCAGCATCCTGTATAAAAATGTCTTTTGGGAGCAATGGAATATCGTATAGCTGAAGACTCCAAAAGAATCTTACTTTTTATAGAGGTGATGACAGAAGTGTTTCTGTAAATTAGTGACAGTTGAGGAAAATGTTTGAGGTTCCTCAACCYAAGTGTAAAAATATTTGTGGAGAGGAAAGAGTAATGGTTTTAAAAGGTAGATAGTCAAATGTGTTGATTATATTGCATGTTACTACATATAGTATTATATGCTATTGCAATTGTGATTGTCAATTGCAGTTGTTTGTAGAGGGCCCAAAAGAAGCAAAGATTAGAGTATATATAGTCTGATATTTAGACTATTAGGAGGAATTTGAGCTGCAAATACAAAATTCTAAATACAGCTGTGACTTTTACTTGCACTTCTTGACGTTCTGCCTGACCGACTGCCTTTGTTCTAGGAAAAGGCAAATGTTTTTGCACTACTGCCACGTTTGTGACATGTTGAAGTATTGTGAATAGCTTTACTCCCTCTCGTGGGATGTACTCGTGGCATGGCACGTTTCCCTTGAAAACAAGCCCTTTTATTTCACCCTGAGCAAATGATACCATCAAATAGAAGAAAACGTTCTTCTGAGCATTTTAGTACTTATGAGCTGTAGATTTATTGCTGCTGCTTTGCCAGAAGTTACTCTGATAGGTGGCAACTCCTCTGCCAGCTGCAGAAGTCACAAAAGGTTGGCACCATTCCGGTCTCTCTGTAGAAACAGCTGCCAAACACTTTAGAAAAGTGGAGGAAYTTGAGCTGGGACCCTTAAACTTTTTGGGGAGAAACGAAAAGGAGAATATTGTTCAAAAATGTTAAACATTTAAAAGTGTTAACCAAACACTTTTAACTAGARTAATAATAATACTATTTATCATGGATTTGGAAACATTTTATGCTCAAACTACTCTCAGTTCTCCATTTCTTGCAGACCACCATGCCAACTTCTAATTGAAAACACTGTGTGATTGTGATGTAACTTGTGTATTTCTTAGTATAGTTTAGAGGGCCACTTGCTGTGTTCTTTTTTCTTAAGACAGGTYTTGGGAACTACTGATTTAAATAAACTCAGAAGCCAGTTGGGTGGTGGGTTTTTTTGTTTATTTTTGTTGTTGCTTTTATCAAACTGGTAATTTGAAGTTTGCTGGATGGTTGGGGAGCTGAATAATTTCTTTATTTGGCATTTGGATAGGAGCCATTTTGGATTTTTTTGATGCTTTTCTATAACAGAATGAGTTCTAAAWTGTCTCTACACAAATGCTAAATACTAACAAGTTTTCAGCAGGCATTAATATAAACTGGAACAAAACAGATCTTTGTGGGAAGCTGGCTATTGTTGTGCTAGGTCTAGGGCCAGGCTTGCTAAATTAACTAAAGGAYCAAATTGTTTGCAAATGCAGTGGCAGTTTTTTCTTTCAGCCAGAGTGTGCAGCCAGGTAACTGGAATTGCCTGCAGACCATCTTAGCAATGACCCTTTATCCTTGATAAATGTTTTTGTACTCTTCATCCTTGTTGCAGGTTACGGCAAAAATCGTTTGGGACGCAGAAAGAAGGTAGCAGGGAAGAAACGTTCTTACGGAGTTATCACTGGCTTGGCAGCCAAGAAAGCAATGGGCTCCCGCAAAGGAATTAGCCCTCTGAACCGACAGCCACTTAGTGAGAAGGTAATTAGTGGAATTGTAATGCTAAACTCTGCTAAAAGTACAGATGGGTTACAAGTTTGGAACACGTGCTTCTCAGTAAGTGCTACTTAAAAATATTCTAATACACTTGTTCTGTAATGATGCACAGACATCTGATAACAATTTTTTAATAAATCAGTGATGGCAAGGGTTGCCTGTGTTTGTCTTATGACAAGGAGGGTGTCTAATGACCAGGTCTGAATATATTTAAAATTACTTGAAGATTTTTGAACACTTGTTGGATTATAAATCATGAAAATCCTAGTGCGGGAGTATCGCTTTGGAAAGGGATATTTGCAGGTAATTATTTCTACAAGTAAATTTTTTTTAYTGTCTTTTACATTGCTTTGTCACAGCTAGTGCTGCAACAGACATGCTAAGCACCTCTTAGAAAAATGGGAGGTTTGTAAAATACTTGCTGCTCCCACAGACTGACTCTGCCACGCACCAATATATTGTTGCTTGCTGCATCTAATCAAGTATTGTACAATTTAGATTGTTTTGCAGTTTAAGTGTGAAGAGTAATTTTAAAGGTGTGTGGCACATTATACTGCCAGTTATATGTAGAACAATGAAAAAGTGGCCACTAAACTCTGCTTCATTTGACCCAGTAACAAAGGGAATAGATAAKTTGTGAGTGTAGAGCAGTTTTAAACTATACTGGAATGTGATAGGTAGACAGAAACAAACATTCTTTATGCAGGCTAAAAATTGAAAATGGAAGAAATTTTCAATTGAAAAAGCTTGAAACAGCAAAGATGTTCTTAAGCCTCCTAGAGTTGCTTGTAATATCCTAAGGAAAACATAGCAAACTTGATCTTTTGAATTTCAGCAGTCTCATGATGTTGAATAAACAGGCTTAAGCATACACAAATATCTCATACAGGATGGAAATACTGCACTACAGTGGAAGTGACTTAGACTGCTGTTACCTAATTTGTGAAGTATTTCTGCTTTTTTTTTTATTATTTCTTAAAAAAAGTAAAGGACCCAATAAAAGAGTTATGTTTGGGTTATAACCATATATAGCCAATTGGTTCACAGTTCTATTTTCTGTGTGTGTTTACCTTATACGTAAATGCAATATATCTTTTTTTTTATTGTTATTTAAGAATACACAGCGAAATTACCCAGTTTTGAAAAAGAAAACAACCCTGCAGAGACAATCTGAAATGCAGAGAAAGCAAGCAGCAACCATTAGGAGACCCGTCCCACTGAAGAGAAGGTAAAATATTCAAGTTGTTTTTCTCAACTCTTAATAAATTTCTGTAGTGAGTTTTGTTTCTGATGATTGCATGAAGAGATGGCAGCTACTGGTAACGAGGTAAAACCTCATATACTTCACAAATCTGGAAGCCGAGCATGGAAGAAACCTGATCTCAGATACTAAACCAGGTATTTATCATTGTGCAGAACACTCAGGAAGTACCTTCATTTGTGGAAAAAAAAAATAGTATTCTGCATAAGCGTAGGTAGTCTATATGAAAATGGCCAACTTCTGTGTCTTTGAAGTGATGATCATGATTTAATTTCTAAACAAAATACCTTTATGAAAGCTGGTGCCATCTTCAGCTTCATGGATGCCATTGCATGTTTTCTTTATAGCAGAATTAACCTGTTACACTGCAACTAAAATGTTTTCCATGATATTCACAATATGACTGACTGAGGAAATTGTAAATGAGAATTGTTCATAGTTCTTATTTTGTCTATAATCTAGACTAGGGATTAACTACTGAGAGGCTCACTGGAAAATGGTGTTGAGAAGTGAACTGTAATAGCTTAACTGYCACCCTTGACTCCTAGGGGGAAGGGTGTTAATCTTACTCTGTTTAAGCCATTTCTCTTAGAGGCGATAGCACAACTAAAATGGGTTGGGTATGCCAAATTCTGCTCTGAATCTTGATAGGGTTTTTTCTTTTTTCCCCTTATGCAATTAGCAGTAGTTAAAGTACTGGCAGATATTGAACAAGGTRAAAAAGCAGAATTAATGACTTTGCTCTTCTGTGACATACACATAGGAGTCCTAGATCTCCGTGTAACAGAAATGATTTATCTATTTCCAGATTAATTGTAGTTGTGACTAAACACATGTTAGTCCTAGTAGATGAGAAGTTTATTGCAACTGTCTAGTCTCCAAGAGTAGYATTGCAATGCCCTTAGAGATATGTTGGACAGTTTCTTGACTTTCATAGTGGTCTTTTTAAAATGTTACTTACAGGAGCTTATAATAACTATTTTATAAATATTACAGGAATAACATACAATCCACTTTTGCCAGAATTGGAAACAAACTGAATCAACAGAAAGACACTCGTCAAGCGACTTTCCTGTTTAGAAGAGGCCTAAAGGTAATAAAAAAAATACTAAAACAAAAGTTATGCTACAGATTCTAAGCCAGTCTACGTAATCCAGCTGCCATTAATTTCAAATAGCAGATCTGAGAAGACATTTCACGTKGCTTGTAAATTAGACATGTTTTTCTGGGGAAGTAAATTTGTTCTCTTCAGTTATTGTAGTGCTTTTAGTTCTGCTTTGTATTCCAGTGGATGGAACAGAAGTACATTTTAGCATTCTTATGTTCACCTTACCTGCATGTAAATGTTTTTTTAGTAAGTGTGTGTTTTCTGAGGTAATCCTTAAGTGTCTCCTGTTTTGACCATCTCCCAGTATTCTCTAAAATGTTGCCTGTGTGTAGTGCTATTTGTGTGCTTTTGTTTTGTTTTATTCCTACCCTTCATTTCCAGTTTTCTTGCCTATGACTGCGGGTGGACACTGTTCTTCATCTCTTTACTGTTAAAGTTACTGTCATGGATTACTTCTACATCATTTTATATTCTTAATATTTCCTTCCAGTATCTTATGAAAGTAACATGACAGTTATCTTTGAAGTCCCTTTGAAAGTACAGCTGAGTGTACAAGCATTTCTAAACTTCTCTCTTTSAACTGCTGTGTTTCCAACTGCTGCAGTGGGAGCTGAAGTGATGTTCAGATCTGGTGTCCCTATTCATGTGATTTCAGGTTCAGACCCAAGTGCAGCCAGCAGATGATCTAGATAATCACACAGTAAAGAGAACACGTCAGTAAGTATTTTGTTTGATAAACTTCAGTTTAGTTGCTTGTTTATAGTATTGCTTTAGTGTTGGATCTAACTTCTTCTCCTGGCTATAATTGATTTTTGACTATAAGTGTCTAAATTATTCAATGGCAGACATTGTCTAAGTTAACAGAGATGCATTTGCTTGCAGAAGATGCTCACAAGAATGAAGGAGAAGGTGTTAGCTGGATAGACTAGTCACTGCCACCAATAATACACTGTAGGAGAAAAATTCAAATGTCAGCACTTCCCTAAGTTCTTCATGTAATTTCCATTCTATTTAATATATGTATAGAACCTATGAAGTAGTTAAAATATGAGATGGGCAGTACAATACTTGTTCAATACACTTCTCATAATCTGCTAGCTAGGCGCTTTCAAAGTTGGTTGCTGGAAACAATAACAGGATGAGCAAGCAGCACGTGCCACCAAACTGCAGTCTGTCACTTCTGATGTGYCACAAAGGTGAATTTGGCTGCATCTGTGGCAAGCAATAGTGAATCTTTTGAAAAATACACAAACAYTTCCATCAATGTGGCAGTGTTGTCRYGTCTTGCCAGTTTGCAATCCAGGGCTTACCTGGGCAGGCTTAGGTAAGGTACGAGATACAGAAGTCAATAGCACCTTCCTATACCTCATCCTACGCAGACTGTAGGGGCAGCACAAAGACTACAGACATTGTTTACTAACCAGTGTTTGAGATGCATTTAAAGATGGAAAAGTGTTGCTGAAATTTTGATTGGGACAAATAATTTATGTGTTTTCCAACTAGATGGCGAACTTCGACCACAAGTGGAGGGATTCTGACTGTATCTATTGACAACCCAGGAGCAATCATAAATCCAATGTGCGTAGTAAGAATAGTACTAAAATGGTCTTAACTGAAATCTCTGTTTGTGAATCATTTAGCAATTTCTTTGCAAATATTATATCAGGTATCTTCTTATGAAAGCTTTTAAAACCTCTTTTGGGTGATTAGACTTGGTTTTCATTAGTAGTACTTATTTTGTAAAGAAATCTGTATCTGCTATTTTTTTCCTTCTTTGTTTTTGCAACACAGACTAAAAACAGTCAAAATTGCTATTTTGCCAGCAGTAAGACTTTTTCACTTAAAAATCTTGTATTCACTCTGTCTGTTTTCATGTTGGTCTTTCAAGTTCCCAGAAACTACGATTAACCCGTACTCCTGTGCCCCCATTTCTGATGAAGAGGGACCAATCTGAAGAGAAGAAGATTCCCAAAGGAGTTCCTTTGCAGTTTGACATCAATAGTGTTGGAAAACAGGTAAAAGCAGATTCCTTTCTCAACTGTAGGGTATTCCAAAATAGATGAAGTTGTTGAGCCAGGCACTTTACTCTTGTTAGTGGCAGAAAGAGGGAACTAGTAACTACTTCTTGTTTCCATTTCCAGTGTTTCCGCTAACGTGTTATGTAACTTGAAGCACATATCTACACTTACGGTTCCTGCTCCTCTGGTTTAAATCTTGCATGACCGTGTGCTTTGAGTGGGATTTAAAATGATGAATATCTGTAAAATCCTTCTGATGTTCCTGCTGCTGGAATCGGCAAGTGTGTGTGATTCAGGATGAGCTTCTTTCAGTTCTGTAACTTGCCTGGGACACTGGCATCTGCATTTTATTACATTTCGGCTGCATCAGGGCAACTTTTGTTACGTAGCAAGGGAAAATAAAAATGAAATAAAATGGTATAAAAGCTTGAGAGAGGAATAAATTTTTAAGAGTTTCATGGAAAAACAGGTGAGTGAGTGCAAGGGAGGTAATCTTAGTGTTCCCACTTGAAAAAAAAATTGACAGGGTGACAGAATTAGGCAATTAAAACTCAGCCACAAGATCAGACTGTTCTTGTAATCAGCTTCTTACTGTACTCTGCAGAAAACATGGGCTTAGAAAATTGGTCAGGCTTTTTCATCTATAAACAAATAGTGTTTAGACTATCAGTTGCTGATAGTCTAAAAAAATTTAATTGAAATGTCAGACTAGGTGCCAGTTTACTGCCTCAACTGGATGGACTGGAAAATAACTTGTGGTAAAGTGGTTAGAAACTTGCATTTGTTGAAGCTGCAYAGAATCCGTGCTTGGAAATGAGTCRAGCGAAAGTTCCCCTTTTCARACACTTCAGCTTAACTTAYRTTTCTCTGAGTTCATTTTGAGTCTTGACTTCATACCATATGTTCTTAATGAATTCCGGGAAGTGTTAGCAGTTGATATGTGTGAGCAGTTGATATGTGTGTACTGTATTCTGACTTCCAAATGGTGTTGGAAAGGGTGAAATCGAATTAAATCTCAGTTAGAAATGCACTTAGTCGTGTGATAATACAGAATGAGTAAGGAATTATTCGATGGAATTATTTTGATTGAATTAACCTAACATCTTTCAAGTRTGTAATGAAATAAACTTATTTTTCCAGACAGGAATGACTTTGAATGAGCGTTTTGGGATCCTGAAGGAACAAAGAACAGCACTGTCCCAGAGCAAAGGAAGCCGTTTTGTAACCGTGGGCTAACCTGTTGAATGGACTGAGTCCTGATCCCATCTATCTAAGAAACTGAGATGAAAGTGGCCAGAAGAACACAGCATATGTCACTGAAATTCTCCAGACTTTTTGCTAAGATAATGGCAGAGCTAACTGTCTTTATTACTTTTACTTGGAACGTTAAAAGACGTGATGCCGTGGGGTGAAAAAGTGGGGAAACCCACGTGCCAGAGGAGCACCCTGATCTGGTTGAAAAAGATTTTGTTGCCCAGTTAATGACGAATATTCTTTCTTTTTTTTTGTTATTTTTTTTTCCTTTGGTTGGTCTTGTAATCAAAATACAAAYGTGAGGATAAAAGTTTGGGGGTGGGGTGGGTTTGTTTGTTTTGTTTAGGAGTGCTCAGTACCTGTTCTTTGATCCCCTGCTATAGTAAAGACTGTCAATGTTCATTACAGTCACATTTTTAGGGTGTTAGGGACTGTCTGTAAACTTCCCTTTGGTCTGCAGTCGGGCACGGAACCTCAGTCTGTGAATATTCTGGTAGTGATGTAGCAGCATTTTTCATGGGAGCATTGCTTGTAATTCTTTATGCTTTTGATGTTGTGTTTTTTTTTTTTTTCCCCTTCCTTGGAGACTAAATATTTTGCATCTTCATTTTTGCAAATAAAACTGTTAGCTGAGACCCAAGATATGTAATTGGAGTGGAGAATATTCTGCTCTTAACCTTAAACRTGGTCCAGATCACACTAGAGGAATACTTCACAGGCAGTATGGGCTTAATTTATATTACAAGTAGCTGAAGTTCGTCTTCTGCAAATTGAGTATGTGTGTCCCTTTTTTTTTTTAACCTTAAACATCCTATTTCCTTTGAAAGCTTTTTCTTTTTTTTTCCACATAAACTTAATGCAATAACTTCACATCTTTTGTAGGAATAAATACAACCCTTCAGAAGAAAGTCAGTGGTGTGGTAGAGTTGCTGATCTTCCCAGGCACAGGAGTCTCATCTTGCCCAAGAGAGTTCTCCCTGTCCCTCAGAAAGGGCCAGAGACAGGCAATTTAATGGCATTTGTTTGTATGTACCAAAGAGAGGTAAGATGTGACGCTCATCAACAGTGGTCAGACATTCTGAAGTTTGCTGAAACTGGGCCAGAGTTGTTGGAATAAAGCCCTCAGTCTGACAGCATATTTAAGGCATTAAATAGTTCACAGAGTTGCTCCCTTAGTGCCTGGTTTTACGCATCTAAGTGAAGGATGGTAATAATTTGGGCTCCTTACTGTGAATTTATACTATCCCTAAAAATGAGACACCTGTTGATAATTAACTTGCTGTCAAAATTGCTCCCAATCCTGAGAGTGATGAACTTAACCCTGTTCTACAGCAATATGTTTTAGGTACAGCCAGGTAACATGGCTGGCTGCATCCACAAATGTTTATGGTGTGTAAAGTGTTTTTAATTACACTTGTTTTTTCTTAAAGAGTTTACAGTTCTTAAGATGGTTTCCTTGCATTTTTATCTCAAGTTCCAAGTTAATTAGCTGTTTCCCTGAATGTACATGTTGAAGAGGATTTGACAGGAGAGAGATTTCTGTCATATAGCAGTTTTAATGTCAGAATGCATCCTTGACAGTATATAGTACTTAACACCTTATTTTTAATGTTGAAATATATAACTTAGCAAAAACAAACTAAAAGTAATGGTGGTGTTTTTTCTCTTAATTGCTAAAAGGATTTTTTGGAAAAAAATCACACTATTAGAATTTGATTAGATATTGTGGTGTTTGTCATCCTGTTTCAGTGTATACATTTTCCATGTGCCAGGATGCAATAAAGAAAAAAATCTTTTGCATCAACATAGATGCAAAACATTGATGCAATGCATCAAGAAATGCTAGTTTGTATTTAATGAGGAGATGCTTTACACTGTACCTTTTGGAATTTTTTGGAGAAGTTATTACATTTGATCTATTCTGAAGCTGTTATTTTTTTTTTTTTTAATAAAACGTTTCAGGTTTCATACTTTCCTTGTTCCTATTATAACCACTTGGGCAGTATATTGGTTATATAAATGTTCTGGTATCCTTAAGGGGTTGTTAATGATTAAATCATTATTAAATGTCTGAAGAAAAATACCGAAAAAGTCTAATTTAAAGAGCTTGCACTCATTTCCAACTTAATATTCTGAAAAATGAGACTTTATTGCACTGGTACGGTAAGAGTTGCTTGCCTTTGAAAAAGACATTAAATGACTTTTTTTGGTACTACTGTTTGACTTAGTGGCTTGGTCGATGTTGAGCGCCAGATCCCTCGATCTGACAGATCATGTACTGGTTTTCGTATTGCTGTGACGTGCCTGTAATCCGAGCATTTTACTACCGCGTCAGCATGAGCCTCCCGATAAAGCGCTGCGGCTGCGTTTCCGAGCAGTGAGGCCGGCACGGAGCCGCTGGCAGGAGCTGCGGGTCCGCGAGCAGTGAGTGCCGCCGTGCTGGGGACAGACACTGCCCACAGATGGGGAGCAGCGCGGGCAGCAGCCCTGGCACATCACTCTGAGGTCCTTATTTTTTTCATACTGACTTTTTTACATATTTTTTCATTTTTTTTCAGACATGCGGCAGGTTTGTTTTGGTTCTTGAGCAGCAGCTCCGCTTCCCTCCTGTCAGACCGGCCTCGAGGAGACCCTTGGCCACAGTGACCTCTTGGGTGGGTGACTTGGTGCTACCTGGGCACCAGAGAAACTAAGCTTGGGGAAGTGCCGTTGTGGCATCCCAGACTGCCCCATGGAGCGCAGGTGAGCGCTGGGCAGAGGAGCCGTTGATTGCCACGGAGCGGCGGCCGCAGGGGCGGGAAAAGCGCCCTTGAATTGGGCCCGTTTCGGGTTTTCCGCCGGCGCATGCGCGCTGCGCCCTGTCAGTGTGTGGGCGCGCGCATGCGCCCTGCCTGCCCGTCGCCGGGCGCTCCCGCGCGTGCGCAGCGGCGCGCGAAGCCGGAGGGCTGCGGCGGGGGAAATGGCGGCCGCGGCGCTGGCGGCGCCGGAGGGCGGCTCAGCCGCGATGCCGGCGGGGAGCGCGGCGGCGTGTCCGCCCACGCCGGGGCCCTCGGGCCCGGGCTCGTGGAGCCGCTCCTTGGACCGAGCCCTGGAAGAAGCGGCGGCCAGCGGCACCCTCAGCTTGAGCGGCAGGAAGCTCCGCGACTACCCSCGGGCCAGCGCCGCCAACCACGACCTGAGCGACACCACGCAGGCCGGTGAGGGCGGCGGGGCCGGGGCAGCGCCCGCCGGGGCCGCTGCAGGAGGGGCAGGGAAAACCCCTCCGTAGCGCGGGACCGGGGCGTCGGGCTACGTCCCCTCCGCGCGGAGGGGAAGGCTCCGTGCGCGAATAGGGGGTCTCCCTTTTCCCCCCCTCATCCTCCCCCCGTGGGACGCGACCCCTGTCCCCCCCTCGCCCCCCGGTCCCGGCGCGATGCTGCTCGGCCCGTTGCTGCCCTCGGGCCGCTTCCCCTCGC